GCCCAGAGTGACGGTCTGCATGTAAACATGGCAATAAAGGGAGAGTGTGGAGGGCTTTTGGGGTTGGATGGGGGGGGGTAAAACATGACACAAACAATCCGCGCATTGGTGCCGGGAAAAAAAGCAACAACAACAACAACAACAACACAAAAAAGCTGCGCGTCTCTTACCTGAGTTTCTGTGAGGCTAAGGCTGTGGGCGAGCTGCTTCCTCTCCGCTCCCACCACGTAATGGTTTTTCTCGAACGCGTGCTCGAGCCGCAGGAGTTGCGAGGGCGAAAAAGCTGTCCGGATTCTTTTGGGCTTTCTGGCCAGCGCGTTGTGCAAAAGGAAGCTCTCCGGACTCGTTTCATTGCCTGCAAACCAGCAGAGAGAACGAGGACTTTCACTATACGCCTTCCGTTAAAAAACTAAACACAGGCCGGGGCAGCACAGTGCTTCCAAATAGGGCTGAAATACTGGCGTTTTAAAAACAAGGAAAAGAAAACAATAATAAGAAAAAAAAAGACAAAAATAAAAAATAACAACAAGGTCAATAACGTGCAAATTTTTTGCGCTGGAAATAATTTTCTTAATGTTATAATATTCCAATCTAGCATTTACCCACAAAAACAGAGATATAATCCTGAGCTTAATTTAATTATATCCAGAAAGAAAGTAAAGTCAACTCTCGGGAAAAAAATGTGGATAAAACCACAAAACCACAGCAGAGATGTGTTAACAGTCAGCCATAAGCCCATTTGAGCGTATTGCTTTCATTTGTCATAAATAAACTCGATAAACTCTTGTAGAAAAGCCACAAAAATAAGTAACGAACAATTCCAGCGTACAGGCCGGAGTGTCCCAACAAAATAAAGATTTACAGCAAATGCGCCCAGTGGAAGGCATCCAGAGAGTAAGTTCATTTTTCGATTTTTTATTTTGTTTACAAATGTGAAATTTCAACAGAGGAGCCAAACGCATCCTTTTTTTTTAATGAATTATTTAATTTTTTTCATCTATAATATATTTCCCTTCTTAATCCAAAAACTGCAGATTAACATTGTCCGCCTCCAAAAGTGTCACTATTTGTAGTGATCGTTGTTTTGTTTTGTTTTTTGGTTTTTTAACTCCTGACAGTAGTCAGCTTCGAGAATGATTTATTTTCGCTCCGCATTTAATAATTCGATCAAATAAATTAACGCCAGATTGTTCTTTCTGGTTCTATTTTACATTTTTAGATCGAAACGACCCCTTTAAATGAACGTCCATGCGGACATGTGCTGTGCTGCTCGGATTTGGACTTTTCCAGGACGCCCTGCTTAGTATCCCGGTGGAAGAACGAGCAGGACGGCGGAGGAACGAGTCACACACACTCGCACACACACACACACACGCACACAGCACGAGCCCGTTCGAAACCTGCTCCCCGACAACTCACCTTGAAACCTGTGCCCCAAGTACCTATATCTGTGCAATAGCCAGGGGTAGAAAGTGGAGGGGTCCCTTTGCTGGCTGGCGAACAGCGGGTGCGGGCTGTGGGAGGAGGAGAGCGGGTGCGCGGCCAGCGCGTGCGGCGGCGCCACCGGGTGGACCGGGACGGCGGAGTTGGGCGGATGAGAGACCGCCTCGGCGAACACTAAGTCCGGGTTCGAGTACACGCCCCTGCCGCCGGAGTGGAAGCCGTTGAGGAAGGGGTTCATCTGGCCGGAGTTGGCATAGCTGAGCGCCGCCGGCCTGATGGGCTCCTCGGAGCGGGACGCCGGCACGGGATTATCCTTCGCCACTAAAGACTCGATGGTAAAACACCTCTTGGGTGTGGGCTGAAACATGGTCTGATAGTCCAGGTTCCCCAGCTTAGGCTGAAGTCGTCGCCAGGCGCTCTCGCTTTAAAAAAAAAAAAAAAAAAAAAAATACTCCACACCCCAAAAAAAGAAAGGGGCGAAAGTTTTTTCTGCGCTGGAAAGTATAAGTTGAGGCTGGGGAAGGGGGAGCGAAAAACACAAGAAAAGGTCGGCGGCGGTGTCGAGAAAAAAGCCAAAATGAAAAAAAACGCGTTCGGCTGTATACTCCCGGACTAATCCATGGATGTGATCGCTTTCCTCGCCGGCTTCGTGCAGGCAGATTTGTTAGTTCATGAGCCTAATTAGCTGTGCAGCCCCATAAACAGCTTCCTCTGAAGGCTGGAATGGCATGGTGATTGGTCCCCGCCGCCGCTGCTCGCCTTAAGGTGGAGAAGGGGGAAGACGCTTAAAAAGTGCGTCAATGGGGAAGCAGGGGCGCGGAGAGGCGGACTCCATGCGCGCAACACGGAACGGATTCGTCCAGAGAGGAGCCCCCCGCGTGCGCGTGCGTGCGTGCGTGCGTGCGCACATGTCTCCAGGACATTTAACTCATTCATCTTAACCAGAGAAGCTCAAGGAAGCCATGCGTATTTGCATTTAAGGCCTATAAGGAGAGGATAAGAGATTTTAGGAGTGAGGGTCTGTTCTGTTTTTATTTTTGGATTTTTTTTTAACATTTATTTGCGTACAAAAATGTAGCTCAATTACCAGATCAGGCCCGTTCAAGTCTATTTTTCAGGATGATATCAAGCAGCAGCTAGTAGAGGGACTTCGTTGCTATAGTTTCTAGGTTTACTGGCTGGATATTTGTATTTCTGGCCTTATTCTTGGGGTTGTGTTTTACATTAATTCCTTATTGAATACACATTATTTTATTTTTTTGGTTTGTATTTCCCCCCCCCAGTGTCTGGATGTTCGGAGGTCTGAAGAGGCAGTCCAATTTTATCCAAGATCGGAAGGCTGTGCGTCAAGTGCTCCAGACGTCTTTAATACGGGTGTGAGAGTGAGTGCGCACACGCTCAGGTGTTTCATGTACCTGCGTGCAGGCTGTCACTCCCCGTCTGTGTGCGCGTGTGTGTGTGTGCGCGTGCCAGCGTATGGATCAGGGGCTGAGGGGCAACGGGACAAAGCTGCGTGCGCGGCCGCTCAGCAGGGGCCTCCGAGCAGACACGCGCCCAGCGCCTAACGCACCGTGTGAGTCTTAGGATGCTGCCAAATTCTATGCGGGTATAGGAGACTTTGACATTTTGCTTTGCTCCCAAATAATCCCAACAGTTCATGTACTCATTTTTATATAGCCTTTATATGTGCCCTCCCCCATGTTAAAAAATATATAAGCATTCATTTGTCTGGTCACGAAGTGAATATAACCTCATGTTTAAACTGTTTCAACGTGAGGTTATATTAATACAACCAAACAAATTCAAAATGGGAGTAGGCTATTAATACAACAATCAAAACTATTCAAAATGAATTAGCCTACTATTGCAATTATTATTGTAATAATAATACAAGTAATTATAGGAATAAATAATTTGGCCTCTGTGCCTAAACTCGCAGTGGAATAAAATACAGACTAAGTCTTAAAACAAAAGTCGTTATTTTTTTCTGAGCTTTAACCCAGAACATTTTTGTTTTAAATCTTAAAAAATAAAACATTCTGTTTTTATAAACATGACGAATCTCAGGATGTAACCGCGTTTTTTTTTAATCTGAACTGGATGAGTGAGGCAAATTTTTAAAAATGTCAAATGATGAAAATAGCTTCTCTGGGTGACAAAAAAGAGAGAAAGTAAATATTAATGCTGATAATTGTTGTGGCTGCGGTGGCGCATAAATGGAGCGAGGAGCCAAAGCTTTTGTGTTCATCATAAGACGAGAATGGAAAACATGGCCACTGAATTTCAGTGTTTTATTCTGTCACTATACTGTGGCGGCATGTTTCAGGTCTGGAAATGACCCCCGTGTTCACCGTCTCTGCTTTTGGGTTTTTTTTTTTGCTGCTGAGCACGGAGGAGCCTGAATCCGACGGGTCTGATCGCACGTGCTGCGGCGTGGCGGCCCCTGCGCGGTACTTTACTGACCTCTAGCGGCCAGTGGAGGAACCGCCGCCCAGCCCGCTCACATCATCTCCCCAGTCTTCCATCCAAAGCCAGACACGGGCTTTCTAATTCATCCCAAGTAATCCAGAGGGGCTGTTTTGTTGCCACTTAAGAGACTTAAAGTGCTTATAATCATCTTAAAATACAAAAGCAGGCTGGATCTTTTTCATGCTGACGAGAGACAAACTGATTCAGGGGAGTGGAGTGGTGATCAAACATCTTTTTATTAATGGCTTTCACTGTAGACGTGCGGCCACCGGCTGCAGGCACACAGAGGCCCACGCTGGATACAGAGCAGACATTTGAAGATTCTAAAGCATGCACATCCAAATGTAAATTCCATGAGCTCGTTAACAGGTTAAGAAGCGTCTCCCATCAGGTGAAGAGCAGACATGGGTCAAACAGATTCCTCATCGCTGCTACCACGGGCTGATCGCCTGTGCCATGACATCACTTCCATGTAATGCAGGAGTAGTTAAAAGAGGCGGTTAGTGACTCACAGCAGGTCATCATGTAAGATAAAAAACACTGCTAACCAATGTGGAATAGTGGTGTTTAAGGTCTGAGTGTACGCAAGCTTGCTGGTTAACGTTTTAGGTGGCGATGAACCTTTTTATTCCTCTCCAAACTACAAGACAAAAAAAAATAATCAAATAAATCCCCAGAAAATCTACGTCCTACAAAGATTCATTTCAAAAACCAAACCAAAGTTTCAGAAGACTGAAGCCATTAATTCCACTGAAGTCAAATGGAAGATGGGGCTTTGAATATTACTCTAATATGATAATAACAATAATTGTAATATTTCTGAAGTCGGAGCACAGGGGATTCCTTTAGCGGCGGACGGTGGTCCAGCCGTCGTCGTCGGTCTCATTCTTTGTGCGACGGGGAATTTCTTTGTCGGTGCGCCAAGCTTTTTCCCCCTCAGATTCAGGCTCCGGCTCCCGCTCACTGGGACGCTCCCGCTCACTGGGACGCTCACTGGGACGCTCACTGGGACGCTCCCGCTCACTGGGACGCTCCCGCTCCTCTCGCCTGTCCTCGCCTCCACGGCGCCAGGAGCCACCTGAGGGGGAAAAAAACAAAAAAAACAGCTTAAGGGATGAGGGCAAGTGGAAAAATAAGGTACATGAGCAACATATTCTCACAAGTTTCTAGATGTAAACTTTTGGGCACGGTTCAAGCCAACAGTGACCTCTGCTGGCTGAGAAGAAAACTGGGCTCACTCTTAAAAAAAAGTCTGTTCCTTGTCCAGCGGGAGTTGTGTGACATCTACAACATTCAGTTTGTAAAAAATCCAGAATCTGATGCTGGATGCAGGTCATTGGACGGGTTCTTCCACACTAATGAAAAACCTCTCTCAGTTAGTATTGGGAAGGACCAGACGGCGTAAACGAGTCTGTCTGCTGACCTTCATCATTATCTCTGGGTGGGGCCCGGACTTCGCGGTCTTCCCGTGGTCTTTCGCGACGCTCGGGGCGCCGATCGTCGCGGTCGGCCTCTTCTCTGCGAGACTCCCTCCAGCTACTCGTTTCCTCTGTGCCTCCTCTCCTCCAGCTGCTCTCCTCCCTGCGACGGCACAGTGACGGAATGCAGCTGAGCCTCCAGGACTGTAGCCGAGCGGAAACCCAAACATCACCAGGGCTAAAATCAGACTCACCTGGGCGGACGACGGTCTCTGAAGTCACTGGATCTTTCCTCGCCCTCCCCTTCCTCCTCGTCATCCTGAGCCCCGCCGCGGGGCGGCCCCCAGCTGTCCTCCCGGGCCTTCTCCCGCTCACGCCAGCCGCCTGCAAGGGCAGCGATTAGTCATCGTCCTAAGGGAAACATGCTGTCTGCGCAGGAACAGCTTACCAGGTCTGCCGAGGGGCTTCCAGGCTTTGAGGTCGTCCCCGCCGCGACGGGGGCCATCGTCCATGCCTCTCCTTCCACCTCTGTCGTCATCCCCTCTTCTAGGACCCCAGTCATCGTCGGCCACTCGCCTGGGGCCTCTGGAGTCATCCATGCCTCTACGAGGACCTCTGTCATCGTCAAAGGCGCGGCGCGGGCCGCGATCGTCATCAAATGCGCGGCGCGGGCCGCGGTCGTCGTCGAACCCTCTGCGGGGGCCGCGGTCTTCATCCAAGCCTCTGCGTGGGGGACGCTCGTCGTCGGCCCCGCGACGAGGGCCTCGCTCATCGTCGAAGGCTCTGCGGGGCCCTCGCTCCTCCACGCCCCGGCGGGGCCCGTCTCGCTTGAAGGGCCCCTCCTTGTCGTCCTTGTCCTCCTCTCGGCCCTCCTGCCTCCACTCCCTGCGCACAGAGCAGCCGCCGTCACGGGCAGATCCTCACACTGCACAACAGGGCGGGGTGGGAGGATACGCACCTGTCGGGCACCGGGCGACGCCACTCCGAGTCGCCTCCCTCAGTGCGCCTCCTCCAGCCTCCCTCCTCCTTTTCACCCCGGTCCTATGATGCAAAGACACGTTGGTGAGCCTTCACCTCACCAGTGAGGCAAAGCTGAGGCCCCCTTTTAAAAGCTCACAACAACAAGTTAATTTAAATGGCTTGAACTTAGTAAACCCTTTATAAAACTCTTGAGTGGTCCATAGTTTTGACAATTTGCTAGATGTGTAGTCGAAAAGCTTAAAAAAAAAACCCTGGCCTGACCTTGGCCCTGTCCTCCGGCTGGCCCCTTCTCTCCTCCTCGCGGAGGCGCTCCCGCTCCTCGATCTCCTGCTGGCGGGCGCGCTGCTTGCGGTCCTGCTCCTCCAGCTTGCGCAGGCGCTCCTGGTACTCCCTCTCCTCCTCCTCCCGCTGCTCTTGCTCCAGACGTTCACGCTCTTCTCGTTCTGGAAGAGGAAAAGGTTTTTTTAAATCAAAAACTAAATCACAAAATAAAAAAATATATTTTCAGATGTTGTGGCATGTTAAAACAGTCATTTGAATCCCATGGGCAAACAGAATGAAGTAAACCTTTCTTGAGCTGCTCCTCGTGGATGCGCTGGGCGTCCTCCTCTTTTTGGCGGTAGTACGTATTGCGCCTGTCTTCTTTGCGCTGCCTCTTCCTGTCCTCCATACGTTTCTTCCTCTCCTCCACCAGCCGTTCCTCAAATGTTTTCAATTTTTCCTTTGGAAAAAAAAAAAGGAGAAATTAAGAAGGGTAAAGTCTAGTGACATGTGGCTTCTGTCAGCGGTCCGACTGGCGTTACCTCGTAAATGAAGCTGCGAGCGGCGGTTATTTTAGACAGGAAGCTCTCTTTGTCCTCAATCATCCTGGACATGCGCTTCTTATGCTCCAGGGCCTTCTCGCGTTCCACTTTCATGTTGTTGATCTAAAAGAGGAGAGAAGCTAAATGTGTTTAATGATGAAGCTGCACAGTGTGCCCAGCTTCTATGATCTCTCCTCCTCCAGACGTACCCTCTCCTCCTCTTGGAGCTCCCACAGCTCCATGTCTTTGACACGCTGCTCCTCGTAGGCTTTCTTGATGAGGGGAATCTCCTCCAGGCGTTTGGCCCTCTCAAAGTAGTCGATCTGGACAGAAATAAGGCTCAAAGCCCCATCCTCTTACATGTTACAAACCATTTAAGCTGTTCTTCTGTTCACCTTCTTCTCCTGATTCTTCAAGCGCTCCTGAAGCTCCTTCTTCTCTTTCTCTAGCTGTTCCACCTGTTTGGCCATGATGAAGTCGGGGTCCAGTTCCTCCAGATTCTGCACAAAACGAACATGTTATTTCCACTGGAATAGATAGCGGAGCTCTGGCGAATGGATCGGCTTACTTCCCCGGCATCCATTTTACCTCAATGTCAATATCCTTGAAGGCCTTGGCGCCCAGTTCGGTCTTCTTGATCTGCTCCAGCCGCTCGCGCACGGTCTTCTTCTTGATCTGCTCGTGCTCCTGCATGATGCGCTCCTTCTCCCTTTCTTTGGCCTCCTGCCGCAGACGCTCCTCTTCAGCCTTGCGGACTTTCTGCATTTCAGCCTCTCGCTGCTCCAGCTCCTCCTTCTCTCGCTGAATGTTCAGGCTCTCCAGGCGCTCCTTGCGCTCCTCGATGGTCTGCCTGCGGGCCAGGATGCGCTGGTGGTCCTTGCGGGCGTTCTTCAGATAGGCAGCGATGGCCTGCTGGCTCTGCTCCTCACGCTCTTGCTGGAAATGGACAAAACACAGTTTTTAAGATTGTTACACTGTGTTTTCCATCTGTAGCAGGAGTGACCGCCAAAGCTGCCCACTGCTTTGGAATTTTAGCCGTTATGATAACGGACATGCAATATGTTTTAATGAAGCATGTGAGCGATGTGTAAATCCAGAAAGTGGTTGGCTTCAAACAATAATCAGCCCATTAATGTTAGCGTTTCCTGTCTGAAAGGCGCTGGGTCGGAGGAGGGACTCACCAGGATGGAGGCGGGCCTGATGACATGGATGGCTTTGGCCAGCGAAGCAGACATGGCAGTCAGCTGGTTCCTGATCTGCTCTGATGGCATGTTCTGCAGGAAAGGACCCACAGGCGCATCCTCTTTGGTGGAATAGTTCAGGTCGGAGCCGAAGCTCAAAGTCCGAGAGGAGTGATCTATTCGAACCTACAAGACAAAACATGACATCTGATGAGCTCTGCTAAAAGGTGCGAGACGCTTCAGCTTTGCCTTCCAGTCACTGGAAGAACACCTTAAAAAGTATCGGCCGTAACCTCCTGACTTTGAACTCACTTGCAGATCGCAGTGGCGTGCAGCATCCACAATGGAGCGCTCCAGCTGAAAGGCATCCACGAATGGAACCAGGGAGGCCAGTCTGCTGAACTCAATGCTTTGATAGATCTGTGCCACCTGGGGTAGAGGTCCCAGAAAAAGGGCCGAGGTTACAACCCTTACAGGCTCGAGGTCTTTTTCAGGACGGTCAGCGGGAAAAGGGGACGTACCTGCTGCAGGAGCCTGAGGATGGTGTTACTCTGCAGGTGTGGGACGTAATGCTGCAGATCAGACTCCTTCTCAGCCTGGTCTTTTATCCAATTCAACACCTACAAAAGGGGGCAAGTTGTGAAGCATTTCAGAATATTGAAATACATACAAAAAAACTGGCACGCAAACAGTCAGAAAGCGTGTGGCTGTCAGGTGTACCTTAGTCACTCTTCCACTAAGCTTTAGAGGATGAAAGTCGACTTCCAGCCAGTTGTAAAGCTCTTTGACCTCAGGTACTATATACTGCAGCAGATTGAATCTCACCTAAAGCAGGAACAATCATGCATGGTGTGAAAAAAACCCCAAAGAGCTGTGTAATTATGAATGTAAAAAAGGCATCTCCTTATGAATACCACCTACCATGTCGTTGATGAGGCTCTGGCGAGTCGGGGGGGACTGCAGACCCAGGAGGGTCGCCAGGCGGCGGTGTTTGTCCACGATGATGCCGTCCATGTCGAGAAGGCGAGCGATGTCGGTGCGCTCGGGGGTAATTGGAATAGACAGCGTGGCCAGAAGGACTCTGGTCGACATCCTGAAATCAACGGTTCCGATTGTCGTTAGCTCTTTAAATGTCTTCACTCAACCTCTCAATGAAGCATGAACCTCTGAAAGTACCTCTGCATCTCATCTTGGGTCAGATTCTTGCGCATTTCCCTGGAGAGGTGATAAAGCCGGTGGAGGGTGCAGGCATGGAAGAGGGCGTTTCCTGACTTCCAGAACACAGTAGAAACTTTGTTGTAGTAGTTGGCCATAAGCTGAGGCTTTGGAGGCTTCTTGGAGAGAGCAAACAGGCCGTGGATGTCCTCAACAGCCTTGAATGCTTCCTGGAGAGAAAAAAGATCAAGTCAGTGTTTACAGAGAGGTAATTGTCTGTTTTTACTGTCCATCTCGCAGACTGTCCCCCCCACAAGATCAACTGTAAATAAGTTGGTTGGTAGTTACGAACCTGCCAGAGCTCCATGCTTATGGCGCTGTCCAGCTGCACCAGACGGGTCTCCAGGTGCATGGACTGGCTCTCCGGGTTGTTCAGGTTGATGGCGGTGCTCTGGTTGTGGTGTCGTTGGATCTGGCCCAGATGCATGCGCAGGTTGTCACACAGCTTGCGAAATTCTGCTTTGCGGGTGTACTGCAGGCAGAACTTAAAAGCTGCAGACAAAAAAACAGAAAATAATGTGCACCATTTAGCACCTCTGGTGGACCTGGGCCTATGAAACACACCCTTAATAGTGGGTTACATATTTGATGACCCATCTGCCAAAAATGTTCCATCAAAACAAGTGAGTTTGTCCTTAGCCAGCATTTAAAACAATCTAATTGGCCTAATATGTGCTCAGACCATCAAGGTCATTTTCACTGGGAAACTACTTTTTTTTTTTTTTTTTACAGAAATTGGACATTTTGTTTCAGGTCTGAGAAATGATTTTATTCATAATAACTTTAATTCGGCGTTCACAATGACAACATAATGTTTTCTATGTGACATTCAGGAAGCGTCGTTACCTTGCTGGGCAATGTCATGGTACAGGCGCTCCACCTTGGAGTTGTTCCTAAGGAGGTCCAGGCACTGGCGGTAAGACTCCCACAGGAACTTTACCCATGGGGTGAGCAGCAGGCGGTCAGTACGGTCCTGGGTATCCTCACCACTCACAGCACTCAGAAGCACACTACGACCACAAAAAGCTCCGCATGAATAACAACTCAACGATCAACGGGGAAAAAAAGTTTTACCACATCTGTAAGGTTGTTTCTCACCTTTCAGGTGTCTGAATATTGTCCAGGTCCTCGATATCCAAAACCATCTGCTGGGACTCTTCCTTAGCCGTCTCAGTCTTCTCCTCTGCCAGCTTGAGGTAAGCCCTAACCACATCCTCCAGTGATTTGATGTTCACCTAAAGGAGGAGACAGATTCAGTTTGGACAAAGCATCACAGCAACTGAATATGTTAAAAAATTGTACCCTATTTCTCCCCGTTACACACCTGCTGGCAGATGTTCTTGTATTGGTACAGGCCCTCTTTTGCCAGGTGGCTCTTGCGGAGATCCACACAGAGCTCGAGGTATTTGAGCATAATCGGCTCGTGGATCTTCTGCCATGTTCGATGTTTCTTGCTTTTGATGACATCGTACAAAACATCCAAAGCTGGCTGCTTTTTGCCAACCTCAAGAAATTCTGTGAAAGCACATGAAACAAAAAACGTCACACAGCTGGTAACTGACTGTAGCCGACATAGCTTGACCGGTATTAGCATCTGGAAAACCAGACGAAGCTAAGACTAATCGTATTGGTAACATGACAGACACAACTTAACAGTCAACGGCGTTCCAATCTCTCTTAAGAATCTTCGCGCGTACGGATAAGCCTCTGGTGTTTTCTTAAATGTCACTATTTCTATACCAAACGGTGAAGTAAAAATCGTGGCCTAGCAGATTAGCAACATGAGCGATAGAAGGCGATATAGCTTCCCCGCCATTCATGCTAGAATTAGCTGCTAGCCAAACTAGCCAACGTAGCGCCGAGGTGACGAAGCTAACGCCAGTTAGCATAACTGGCGTGTGACATCTGTAAAATAAGAAGTAAGGGTTTGGACTCACCGTTCGCTCGTTTGAGAGCATTCTCTGGCCGCTGAAAATACGCCGGCATGACGGTGACACGAGTTCAACGCAAAACTTGACTGACTTGACTTGAATTTTGACAGTTTCACCAGTCCATCTAGGCCACGCACTCGCTGGCAGCAATGGAGCTGGCTGAGAAAGGAAAACCCTCGTGAGCGGCCCAGCAAAGGTTGCCAGGTTCGCCTCGCGAGCTGCACCTCCCATATTAACAAACACTGAAGTACTGTACTGTAAAATAGTTTTATTTTTAACTTCGTATCCGAGGAAATAGGCAAGACCATGGAAATATATGTATCAGTACTAAGACTTCAAATGTAGAATTTAATTATTAATTTTCCTTCCTCACATTCGTTAAGTAACAATACGTCTCACATAAAACTTCTGTCTCAGAGAGCAATTGAAAGGTATACTTGGGATTTTAGAAAACATTGAATACCATTAATTGGTTTTATAAACAGATTTTACATTTTACATCATATTAACTCTTCCTGTGGCGTATTTAGATGAAAAAGAGTGTTTCAAGTTCAGCGTTCCTAAACGGGGCTTTTTCTTGTATCTGGCAGCTATTGCTGACAAAAGTTCCCGTATGCTCTCTCTGTTGATATGTTCATAACCCTCAAAAGTTCCACAGCACAATTCTAACCGCTTGTATTCCGTTGTTTTCTGTCACAATTTAAAGTCCATCCATGACTAACAGAGGTATCCTATCGTCGCCCAAACATGAACAGAGGAGTATCATTAAATAGAAATAAATAAGTAAACACCAACAACTCAATAAACAAATAAATGTTTAAATATAAATATTTAAAACTAATATTTCCCCATTTTACAGTAAACAGTGGCTCTATTTTATCATATTTTAAGAGGGATATCAAACGTGTATACTTTGTGGGACTTATAGACCATTGCAAAGAAAGGCTAATGAAAACAATTGCACGAAACCGTTCATCGGGATAAAATTACAATTATTTTCAATGGCAGTAAACGCGCCGTTTCTGATTGGCTGTCTGTAGCATAGCTCCGCCCAAACAATCGAGCCGTCCCGGAAGAGGGAAGAGATTTTGTAAAGAGGAGGAAACGTCTGTTGACAGCAGAAATCCTGTCCAGGCCAGTGGCCCTTTTTAGATATTTTTTTGTTTTTTATCGAGCCTATTCTGCATGGCATTGTGGTATTTCACCTTTGCATGAGCTCTCGAGGTACTTCAGAGTTGCATTTAAGTCCTCAGAGGAAGATGGCCGGCGTTTGGTCTGCTGTTAACTTGCGGTTGTGAACTCTTTCAGGCATGGAATATGGCAACGACTGACACGCAGCTAATGTTAAGCGTCGGTTTAATCGGTAAGTTCTTTTGTTGGCAGGTTATTTATGTACGGTGGCTTCTATTTGTACGGCGAAATTGGCGCCTCGGACTTGCCTAAACGTGCAGGGAAATCACATGACAGCAGTGTGATGCAGGCATGTTTCCTCAGCAGCACTCCGTATCTTCTCACTGGTTCATTGATTCTGTCCATTAACGGGCCAGTCTTAGATACATTAACTACCAGACTTCTACGTCGAATGAATGAATGATGGAGTGCTTTTTTTATTTCTACCATTTGAAATGTTAAGATGCATTCATGGTGTTCTTTAAAAAAAATAATTCTTTCTCTTTCAATAGAAAAAGACGTTAATAAAGACACATTGTGGGTGTGGTGTTATCCATCTGTGGGTTCTGAGCTGAGGAAAGTCCTACTCAGTAAGTGCTGCCTGACGCTGGATGGCCGGGACTTCCACACCTTTGTGTTTGGTCAGTTCTCTCGTACTTGGTACTACATCACCACAGTTGAGGTTCAGGAACCAACAGCTCTGAACAAGGTACTAACACAGGAACGAACCACTCAGTAAGTAGTTTTAAGGAGTATCTGTATTGATTTGGTGTGTTTGTCTTTCTTCCGTCAAAGGTCACTCATTTTTCAATAGTTGTAACGGCAAGAGACTTCAACCCTGAGAAGTATGCTGCGCTTAGCCGAATACTCTGCAGGTAATGTGTCGGTTAGGAATCTGTTCTGTTTTATCATCCAAATGGGCAAGACTGTACATGGGGCTGTTTGTCACTCAGGATGTACGTCAAACACGGCAGTCCAGTGATGATGATGGAGGCCTACATCACCGTCCTCACCAAGGGGATTTGTCAGAGCGACGAAAACGGTTCCTTCCTCATTAAGGACTATGACGTTCGGAAGGCGTACCTGGCCGGTTCCATCAAAGGTAAAAACCCGGCTTTTGGCCTGACGCTCACCGTGACCCGCCATGTTTCTGCCTGCCTGAGCTTCTTTCTACTAAACACTCCATCCAAATTCAACCAAAAGACTTACAGCTGAAGGTTTTTATTAGAATCTAATAAGCAACTGTCAGATTTATACTTAATATTTAAGTATTAACTTTATACTTAATATTTTTATTTAATGGAATGGTCTTCAGTTTAAATATTAAGTTTTTTCCAATTTGCATAGAAGTCCTAGAGGACCAACATCATAACTTTAATCTTTGCAACAATGAGTCACAGAAGTTGTAGAGAGACCGCAGGAAACACACAGTTCAAACTGCTGTGATTTTTTTTTTTTTATTTCTGTCAGAAAAACTAAAAATCTGATGGAGACTTTGAGACAGAGGGTTGTTCTCTTTTTTGTCAAATTCCTAAATGCTGAAAACCGAGTGGCCGATTTAAAATGTCCCAGATTGTTCCAGTTTGTCCCCATCTCTCTGCTCCGACCCAGATGTGGTGTCTCAGTTTGGCATGGAGACCATCATCCTCTACACGGCCCTGATGCTGAAGAGGAGGATCGTTGTCCATCACCCTCGGGTTGAAGCGCTGTTGGAGTTTACGAGGTGAAAGTTCGTACTTCCCGATCCCCTCTTGTTTGCGAGGGCTGCTGTCAGGAGAGGCTCACTCTCTACTCTGCTCGTTTAGAGTTCTGCCGGCTCTGACGTGGCACAGGAAAGACTGGTCCGTCCTGCACCCGTACGAGCACCTGACCGATGCTGAGCTGGAGGACCTGAAGAAGTGCCCCGGTGAGGCCGCCTCCCAGCTCCTTCATCCAAGTAGCAGAAAGCAGTCGCTCCCGCTGAGATCAGCCACCCTCTGCTCCGCTTTCTAGTGCTGGCACCAGTGAATTATTAACGTGCCGGCATGCTTTCCTCCCCCCCAGGATACATCGCGGGATTTGTAGATCCAGAGGTGAGCAACAGATCGGACTTGTTTGATGTGTTTGTGAACCTCCCGGAGGGCGTCATCACAGTGTCCCCGAGTGCCAAAGGTACGTCCAGAAAAGCCGAAGAGTGTTTCCCGTTACGCTTTGAAGCTCTCAGACTCATCCTCCCGTGTTTTCGCTGCAGAGGCCATGGCCATGGGGAAGCTGCACAAAGACATCGGGCAACTTATCGTCCACTCCGCCGAGGATCCCGAGAGGTCCGACAGCCAGGTGATTAAGGTGAGGACACACCGCCACAGAACAGCACAGGCACCCGTCCAAGCCTCCCAGAGAGAGTGGCAACAGCTCTATATCTGACAAACCCACCAAACGTTCGTTCACAGGACATTTCTGTCAAGACAAAAGAGGTCCTCACCAACCTGGTGGCTCTGGCCCACGAGTGCGAAGGCTCCAAAATCACTCTGGAGGCATTAAAGCAGCGTCATTTCCCCACAGCCACAGAGAACTTCCTCTTTCATTTGGCGGCTGCCGAGCAGCTCTTACGGATATGAAGGTGCTCTGGGAGCTGCTGGGTGAGGTTACTGCCAGCAGCCTGGGGCCCCGGCTGCTCTGTGTGCTGGGAGGAGTACCGCCCTCTGAAAGGCGCCTACTCACAGAAGCCATGCCCAGAAAAGTGTCCGTTTTTTTGTCGTCTTTTTTTAATGCACTGTTCTTATACAAGGAGACACCTTTTTAGCTACATACAATAATTCGTACGTTTGTTCCTACAATTTTTTTCCCCACCATCTCTCTTTAAATCGAACGCCGCGGTACATTTTATGTGATTCCATTGCGGGGGTTGTGTGTTCATCTGCAGCCAGAAGTAGTTCCCAGCTGTTTGCAGCTGCCTGGACAGCATTTTGAATTCTACAGAGTTCATTTAAAAACCCAAAACAATGTGAACAATGGGGCACGCTCCTTTTCATTTCCAAGGGTTTTAAGCATAAGGCGCCATCGAAAGCCACGCGGCCCCGACCCGGCCGTCCAGTCAGGGAACCTCAGTCCAGCCGTGCACGACCGAAAACTGAGCTAAGCTACCGAAGAGGAGACGCCTCCAAAGGGATTTAGGTTCACCTCGTCACCGGCAAGCGCCTCTATGAAAGTAGACGTCCAGGACAGACATCAGCCACTTCCTCCCGAACACAGCAGCAGGTCTGAGAGGGAACAAGGCTGTGGTGGTCCACAAGCTGCTCTGCACAAAGCAGCTGCCCCATTTCCAGGAGCCGCAGCAGCCCTGTACAGAGTCCGCTGGCATTCCTCCGCTGAGAAAAAGCTAGGGCTGCTAAAGGTGTGTGCCTTTTTTTTCCGAGTCTGATTTGAGTTTTTCCTTTTGTTTTTGTTTTTTACTTGTAATACCACGGCTTAGATTTGGGTGTTCAGGAGGGATAAGTGCGTCTTCTCGTGGGATGAGTTGAAAATGCCTTTTAACACTAGCAAAGATGGAACTGTAGAAAAAAATCTCCTTATTTTTCTTCCTGAGGAGTCCAACTGATTCCAGCGGCTAAAATAACCCTCATATGACCAGCTCTAAGTATTGTATTGAGTTAGTTAATAGAAGCTGCGTGGTTATCTGATCACAGCCAGATGTTGCACAGCAGGCCAATTTTTTTCCCCCTCTTCTTTCTTTAAAAACGGCGTCGTCATTTTTCATTTTACAAAAGACGTTAGTGCCAAATCTTTTATCCACATTGATTTTTTCTTTTTTTTTTTTTACATTTAAATTTTATTTTACTGCCTCACGCGTCTTAATGTTCAGGCTGTTGGGAGCACAGCTGTTTAACCGTGGAATGCAGTCACAGAAGGTTCAGGATCTGTGGTCTTTCAGGTAAAAACACCACGCGCTTTTCATGAACTGATGTTATATTCTAATTCTTCTAACACCACGACTGAATAAAGTTACTATCAAAAAGTATATTCACGCTTGATTTAATACATTAAAGTGTTTCTAATAACATATTAATAAAAAAATCTAACCCTGGAGGGGTAAAAAGAAAAAAGAAGCTGGGTTTGATCTATTTTCCCGTCAGATGGTGTTGCGGTCCTAGACGGACATCCTTTGGTTGCGTATCAGAGCCCTCTGTGGTAGAACAACCGGCTGCCGACCGCTCGGGCCTGCAGCTCCGCCTCCACGCTCCCCTTCTCCACCTGTAAAACCAGGTCCGAGTCAGCACATTTCCTGGCGGGGACCACCAAACGTGAGAAGCGGCGCGGCAGGATCGGGGACCCTGAACCTCACCGTTCCCAGCGGGGGGAAGAGGCTGAAAGAGACGGGGATCATCAGGCCCAGGACCAACGTCGCGCTCACGCTGCGGAGAGGAGCGACCAGCCCCCGGAAAACTCTCCTGGAGGGGAGGACCAGTCAGCCAGAGAAGAAATGCGTTCCTTCTGGCCTTAAAAAAAAAAAAAAAGAACTCACCTTGGTAGAAGCAAGATCAGAAAATTAGGAACAGCGGCTGTGGCCCCCAACAGCGCCGCCCTGGACAGCGCAGTCTCTCTCACGGCCTGATCGGATAAGAAACCCTCCCAGTAAGCTTTGCATCAGGAAAACTCATTCGAGTCAATCAGATTGGTGTTCTTTATAAAAGAGACAAAAACAAAAAAAAACGCACCTTTTCTCCCGCTGCTTTGGAGACGCCCACAGGTTTGCCAGTGTAATCGTACACTTGGATCCCGGTTTCTTTCTCTTGACTTCTGACGGTGAAGACGCAGAAGAAGGCCAGGGCGGCTGGACGGTCCCAGGGGAAAAGAAAATACCCTTTAGAAGGATACAGCTGCACCCACTTGGATCTTTTAACTCACTTGGATCATATTAAAATTCATTTTAATATGAGCTCCAGCTATTTCTTGTTGCCAATTTGATGTAATTCCCAACCATTTTTTTGCATTTTAGACATTTAAAATCACAGCGCTGATTGCTTTGAAAATGAGTGGAAGTAAATTGGCCCGGATCCAACATTTTCTATTCTCAGTGAGGATATTAAAGGGTTAAAATGTGCCAACAGATGGAACAGGCCAAAATATTTGAAAGTGGTAAAAGGCATTATCCAACTCCCTCTGGAATGTGTTGTAGTCCTACAACGCGGTCGCTGTCACACTTATTAAACTGACAGACAAACTGACATCAGAATCAGCTCCTCACCCGAAAGCGGCATAGGTACCATGTACCGGAAGAAAGTCTGGAGCTTGCCGCTCGTTATGCCAAGCCGGTTGATGATGATCTGAGGTAGAGCCTGAAACGAGAGGAAGCTTTTTAAAACCCCGGCGCCCCTCAGTGGAGTCTCCCCCCTCAGCCGGGCCACCGCCGCTCACCCCCGCCAATGTGGTGCAGGAGACCGTTCCCACCATCAGCGCCAGCTGCCCTGAGAACACCGCCTTACCCTGGAGGGAGGAGACAAAGACGGGTCCACCATTTCATTCCCAAATGGGGACCGAGCCCCGCAGCCTTTGGGCCGTTACCTGCTCTGCGGAGGCATTCCTGTTGGCGTAGCTGAAGCCCGCGTTGTAGCTCTGCAGCAGGAACTGGAGGGACACGTTTCAAGCTTTGCCACCAGCTGAGGCTCAGACCGGCGGCTGTGAGGAAGTGCCTTGCTTACCTGCCAGAACAGGGCGGGTTTGACACCGCCGTGGGGCAAAAGGGTCCCCAACACCTGGGAGGAGGCATTAGCCGTTAGTAGCCGCTATCCAGAGCACAGAAGAGGAACAGTTTGTGTCGGGGAACGGACAGACGTACCAGAAGTCCTGACATTGGCAAAAACGCTGGAAGTGAAATGGCAAGAGAGAAAGATTTAGCTTTCTTTTTCTCTTTAAAGCTATCTGTTTTCTAGAGGCTGTGGCGGTTTCATTGTATAATATAATTTCCCTTTAGCAGAGTAAAAAAAAGTAAACCTCCTGAGACCCAACTTTTATTTAGTGTGCATCTTTAGGATCAGTAGTAACTTTAGTAACATTACTGTATTAAAAGTTTTCTTTGCCATTTGGTTGTGACGGTCCAAATGACTTAATTACTTTTGTTTTAATTCCAAAGTAAAGGACACGATGGTAGAAAACACTTAAAACTATTTTTTTTATATATCAAACATTACTGTCTAATTGTGAGGCCAATGGGTCAAAACCTTAAAAAAATAGGGGTAATCATGGTACCAAGAGGTAAAAATCCAACGTCCTCATATGAGGATGCTGGGTCTCAGGAGCTTAAGAAATAATAAGCTGTACAACCTGTTGTTCCCACTGTGGTGTTTGCAACAGCAGTTTTTAGTTTATGTGAATGCACCCCAGTTGAAATTAAAACTCAAAAATGTAGGAAAGCTGCTGTAAATCTACCTGGAGGGCGGAAAGCCAGAGGAAGGGCAGCACCAGAATCCGCATGGAAAGAAGACTGAAAGCAAAGAGAAACAGATGCTGGGATTTGCCGAAAAAGAAATCCTCATTTACCAACGGAACTACGCTGTCTTTGAAAGCTTCCGGACATAAAAACAGAGAAATGGGCACAAACTGTGTGACCTATTTTAAGAAAAAAAAGAGATGATCACTGTTGTAAAATGTTCGATATTATGTGGAACTCTTTAAGTGTTGACTCAAGGGTGGGCGAATGATGTAGTAATCAGTGGGGCTTTGGCATAATAGATAAAAATTAACAGAAAAAAGACATTTGAGTCAGTTGCTGTGTTAATTTTAAGCAGCATTCTGTATGAATTACGACTCTAGGCTGGGAATTATGCTTCTCTTGGTGATAAAACATGGGTGTTTGCATTAGTCAAGACTTACAAGTGACAGGCTCAGAGCAGCGTCATCCTGGAGGAAAGAACACAGTACATAGGTGTAAAATCAGTCTGAGGGCTCACAGCGTTGACTCGCTCTTAAGGTTCTAACAAGGAACCTGACCTTATCGGCTGGTTTAGCTCTACTTCCAAGAAGAGCGTGGGCTTTGAGTATTTCAGCCTGGAAGAGAGCAGAATGAACTGTCTGAGACACCCCCCCCCCCACACTCATCTCACAGCATCACATCAGAGGCTCCCGCTCACATCAGAGGCCAGCAGCAGGGACGGATCCAGGAGATTCATCCATAGTCGTAATCGTTGGAGAAAGGACTGTAAAATAAGAATGAACGAGGTGATGGCTCATTCAAATACATCAGGTAAAGTGGGTTTCATACTCTTCTCGTTTAGATACTACTGTGTGCAGTTACCTGTCCGTGAATTTTCCACTGCACCAGATTCGGATCCATCGGGAGAAGCAGTCGGTTTACCTTTCAGGACATTACAAAGCACTCAACACGGCACAGATCTTCCAGCATGCCTGTCTCACGCCTTTGAGGTCAAGCTCTGTTTGGAAACTCCTTCCGCCTTCAATCACGTGCTCAGCGTTTGCGTAGGTCCACCTTCATGAACATCGGAAATGTGAGAGGTGATATTTGACATTTGGTTTATAGGTGAAGACTTTATTGGACTGAAGAAGCGTCTTCGAGCTCCATTCAGTTAACCAGACGAATAAACGCTTTGAAACGTTAGGAAATCCATATTATTACTTGGAAAGATCAAGCGTGATTTAATCAGGGGCACTTCATGAGAGTTTGAAGTCTTAAAAGGTCGTTTTCCCATTATTATGAGCAGCACTTGAAGGCAACGCAAATGACATTTCCGCTTATCCCAATTTTGAAGGAAACGTGTTTATCACTTCAACTCACCGCTGTTTTGACCCTTTTATTTTTTTCATAACCTTTTAATGCTAAAAGTGTCCAGGAAACTTCCATTAAATGTCCGTTTCTCTTCTCTGGAAAATGAAGTCTGCACCTGGCACGTGCGTAGAAGACCCGTTCAGGGACCGCCCTCCCGTGACATAATCCAAAATGGCGGCCACCATCGGAAGACTCCTCAGGACCTCGGTGAGTGCGCCTTGACACAACAAAACTTTACACTCGTCGGCCGGGCTGTTCTACGTTGGGGGCCGCAGCAGACGGGCTCCGGTAGCAGGGGGGGGGCGAATAACCACTGTTCGCTTTGAGACGCTGTCATGTCGTACTTTCAAACCCGACCAACCACCGACCCCCGCGGCTCAACCTCTGATCCGCTGTCCCTCGGTGCGAACGCGGGTTCTCCACAACTACTGTAATATAATTATTTATTTTAAAAAGAGTTGGAATTTAGTAGAATAAAACAAAGTCAAGCTATTCTGTGAAGAATATACACTTAAAAAAAAAATAATAATTCGCCTTGGATAAATATCGGCTAAATGCATACTAAATTTGCATTATTTTTAATAAGAATTTTGTGCAGAAACGTTCATGTGGTGCCATCAATGCGTTTTTCTTTTCCATTCACCCTGTAGACATGAGAAAGTTGTCTTTCCAAACATTTTCCACAGAGGGCAAAGTGACAAAGGTGTCCTTAATATTAATCAGTCTCCTGTTTAATAGTGTGAAAGCCCCCCTGTTCCGTTCACATTGTGATTGATTGTGTGGTTTTCTTCCCTTTATCAGTTAGAATAACGAGCTGTTCTACCTTGAGCCTGACCCTAAAACCTGAGATCTGACGCTGCCATCTGTGCTGCTCATCAGTATAATTACCCACACCTGTGCCTGTCCTGCTCCAAAGAGACTTATTTAAGAGCACCAGGATCACTGAAGAAAGACCCTGGAAAATACAGACTTTTTATGTCAAATGAGTCATTTATTGGTCACATTTAGAACAAAAAATGACCCAAACCTTCTGCCAGATAAGGCGCACTCTTTGTGGCCCTGCCCCCCCCCCCCCCCATGCTCGCCCTCTGATGTGGCTAATGCTGCCAGCGGGCTCCTGCTCCTGGCAGCAGACGCTCCCCCCCTGCTGTGCGGTCTCTGTTTGGGCCTTGGCTGGCTTTGGAGCTCACAGGGGGCGGTGCAGCTCCCGTTAGTCCCCTGTCGGGAGCACCCTTTGATGACCAGACTTGTTTTTTTCCCCCCCGTTTTGCATTAAGGAAGTTGTTTTAGTTCCTGATGGTGCTGCTTCCTGGCCAGACTGAGCCCTCCTGCTGTGGGACAACAGTGACATCCTAATTAACATATTATAATGTCTAATACACTCCTGTTTCATTGATCTTGATCGTGCTATATATATATATTTATAAGCCCCTACACCAGCTCATGTGTTATTCATGTTGAATTTGGTTCTGCAGGCACAGGTTGCAGCAGCTGGGCTCAGAGTTCCGGCAGCCTGTCATCATGGAGCCCGTGGGGCCGCCAGGTTCCTCGCCGCCCCCGCACTTCAGAAATCCTGTTTCTCCACCAGTATGTACCAAACCGCTTTTTAATTCACATAACCTGGGTCCACCTGGCTCTGGAAGATTTCTACCGGCTTCCTTTTCTAACTTACTGACCAAAGCAGTTGATTTTGCACCAAAGTAAAAGGTGCAACAGTCAGTGAAAATCAGTGGTACGATAAGAATTTGGTTTTCTGGATCTATGAATATTCATGCGGCCCGGTTCTCCTCATGCCAGTCGTAAGGCCCAGGACACCGCTGCTTTACAAACACCAACACAAATGGACTTTGTGTAAATGTAGGGGCGGGGGGGCGTATCTACAAGCTAACTGCTAAACCAGTAAAAAGCGACTTTGTGTTTATCAGCCACTTCCAGATGGACCCCTGCTGTCACTCAGCCGGCTCCCGCCTTCAAAGCCACAGCTGTCCACGATGGGGAGTTCAAGGAGCTGAGTCTGGAGGATTTCCACGGCAAATACCTGGTTCTTTTCTTCTACCCGCTGGACTTGTGAGTATTCCTGATGAATTGGGTTGGATTGCTAGCAGAGACGTCTACCACTCTGAGGTCTGTCTGCCGATGGCCAAACGAAGCCTCTAATGGTGGTTTTGATTTCTCCCTTTGAAGCACGTTTGTGTGCCCGACCGAGATCATCTCGTTCAGCGACAAAGCCAGCGAGTTTCACGACATTAACTGCGAGGTGGTGGGGGTGTCGGTGGATTCCCACTTCACCCACCTGGCCTGGGTCAACACTCCACGGAAGGTGAGAACTGCCCGGCGCCAACGGGCCGAGGCTGTCGGGGCACGGCGCCGACGTGGGTTTCCAGATGTGGAACGCTGTTAGCAGCGTCGCCCCGGTAACGTTTCTGTTTTGTGTGCTGGTGTTTGGCAGGCTGGAGGCCTGGGCCACATCCACATCCCCTTACTGTCGGACCTCAACAAGCAGATCTCCAGAGACTACGGGGTCCTGCTGGAGGATCCGGGCATCGCTCTGAGGTGACCCGCACAAGCTCCCAGCTGACCCCTCCTCACACCACACTTAGTTCAGCACGCTCACCACTGAAAGCCAGGACACGCTTAATGCACAGGGCCGCTGATTGACTTAATGGTAGAAAAAGCAGTTTTGTCGCACCTGAATTCTACGGCGCAGTTTTATTTTTGACCCTCACATCGAGGCTTCCAAACCCAGAGCTGATGTGACATAATGGTGCAGTTTTAGAGGAGGCCCCCAACTTTTTTTTGTTTTTTCTTATGTTCTAAAGGTAGATGTGCATTTCTGTATCGTTCCTCAGGGGACTGTTCATCATCGATCCACACGGCGTGGTGAGGCACATGAGCGTGAACGACCTGCCAGTTGGCCGCTGCGTGGAAGAGACCCTCCGTTTGGTGAGGGCATTTCAGTTTGTGGAGACTCATGGAGAGGTGTGCCCGGCCAGCTGGACCCCCGAGTCCCCGACAGTGAGTACCTCAGGGCAGAAGGTTTCCACCGTTTGTTCTGTATTGTGCTGGGTGTCATACCAACAGCACAGAGCTCAGAATAGGGTTAGAGATGCATCGTCCGATACTAAACCTAGCATCAAATCAAAATCCTCTCAGCATTGATAAAGATCTGTTGATTTAAAAACATGTATGTGTGCAAAGATCTTGGTGAATTCATAAATGAACAGAAGACCAGCAGAGTTCAGCTCATACTGGTGCACGAGGACCGAGATAAGACTTAAAAATGACTTAATTGGTGATACAGTCCTGCTGGTTTGCCTAAAGGTTGAGGTATGGTTAGCTTTATGAAGACTGAAATCATTTTCAGACCAAAAAAAAGGAACACGGGTTTTTTCTGAATACATTTGAGGTGAGGGGGGAAAAAATAGCTTGTCTTGTGTCTTTCAGATCAAGCCGACTCCAGAGGGATCCAAGGAGTACTTTGAACAGGTTAACTGAAGCCAACAGTTAGAGTGGACACACACAAAGTTACACACTTCTTAGTTTACTGCTCAGTACGTACATAGAGCTGAATACACCAATAAAAAGAACTGGCTCCTCACCGTGTCATGGCCCGTCTGTGAACGCTACCCCAGTCCAGGATGTTCAGCCCCCCCACCCCCCAAATTAAAACCTCACTTAATAACCCCTGTACATAAACATGTTTATTTCCTCTTTTTACAGCAAGTTAATATGCAGGTTCAAAATGTCTCTTTAGACATTGGTACACAACAGGGGGTGCCAAAACAAATCAACTTCAGTGGGGGAGAACTGGAAATTAGAAAAAGGCATTGCCACTTCTCATACAAGTAGGGTAACATACTGTATTTACACAAAATGGGGGGGAGCATTTGAAACACTGCAGTACTGTGTGTGGTTATGAAAACATCGAGTTTCAGGTGTACATACAGTTCTTTCTGTACAGTGTGTTTGCAGAGACAACTGCCCCATTCCCTCCCACATTCAAACTGTTTCAGGTTAGGCATAGAACAGGAGGGGGATGGCTTACCAGAAGATGTAGAGCCTTTTAAAGCTTTAAATAAGATTAATAAAAAAAAAAGAGCACCCTTAACCAAATCAAAATGTAACCTTTACATTTTGAGACAGAAGATGACTGCTATCAGGAAATAAGAAAAGAAGAAAAGACTGAAAGCACTGACTGTGGTGAAAACTTCATGCATCCTCAGACAAGATGTACCACCGCCTGCCCCCCCCAGAACTCTCATCTTTTTTTTCTGTGTTTAACTCAAAGATTACCAAAAAAAGAGGGGGAAACGAAAACCAAAACACTGTAGGAAATCTGTACAACGAAAATACATTTGGGATCTACATCTAAAGGTACATTATTAAAGGTTATATACACTCACCCCATCCATATATTATCTTTACAAGTAGACTTCATTCAAACCCAAACATTTAAGAAAAACGGGACCAAACGGGGGGAATGGGACCACACCAAACATCCAATTAAAAATCAGTTCTTACTGTACCTCAGCTGCTCCTCAGTCCCTCTAGCTCATGTCTGTACAGTAAACTACAGCAGGACTAAAATCTCTGACTGGATGGACTGCTACTGTAACGAGTAGGGGGTGGGTGGGGGGGTGATTATCGCGCCACAGCAGTTTTTTTTTGTTTTTTTTTACGTCGTCTCTTTGCAGTGGAAGCAAACGGGAACAAACTACTGCGCTGTGTGGTGGCAGGATTTTCTGAGTGACTTGGGAGGGGGAATACAAAATAAAGTGGAGACGCGGACACAAACCCAGCGCACCGGTGTTCTGACGCCCCAGAACAAAGGCTTTCCACGCACGCCGGCCTCTTCACTGAAGAGAGCTACACCACTCATGTCAATATACATCGTATTCTCTGCTCTCAGGTGGGACTGGGGTTGGGAGGGGAAGAATAGAAAAAAAAACCGAACAAGTCGTGTCAGCCTTAAACATTCGCCCCGACGTTTGTGAGAGCAGCTGATAAAAACAGAACCCTGTGTTTGAGATATCTGCCGCCCGCCGCCTTCCGCTCGTCCACTCGTGGCGCCTCAATTCATTCAGAAAAAAATGGGGAAAAAACTACATTGTACAAAGTGAGATTCTCACAATCTCTTTGCAAAAAGAAAAAAAAAAAAAAATAAAAAGAGGAAAAAAAAGGAATAAAGAATGACTTGTGCCCACCGCTTCTCAGCACACAGGCAAATCCGTGAACGTCCCTGTGTTGCCGGCTTTGCTTCTTAGTCGATTTTCACGTTTGTGTAGATCTTCCTCACGAAGGCACTTGTTCCCATGTAGCCGACGGCACCTGCAAAGGGGTTTACACGGGGTGAGTTTAAACAATTACTGGCAAAGCTGCGTGATGAGGCGTCTGGACGGGGTCTACAGAGCTCAGCAGCAGAGCTTCAACACGGCAGCTGGCAGCTGAGGGTTCTGACTCCTGGAGTTGATAAATGAGTTCAGCTCGCAGCTACAACAGGAGTGAATAAAGAAAAACCCATCTGCAGCCCCTCTCTGGGGTATCTGAACTGTCCTGCAGCAGGCGACTTTGCACAGATTTAAAAAGAAAACATTTTTTGTGCTTTTAAGTTGAAAAAAAAAAATGTTTACCATGCATGCCGAAATTTGCCACTAATAAACAAATACGAATGACCTACAAACACTTTGTGTTTTTTTGTACACAACATTGGTAACCGTGAACGGACACGCATGGCTGAACAGAAGCAAAAATGTCACAAAACATAAGGAACCTGAGAGAACAGCTACCGTCTCCTAACTTACCGCTGAGCAACATGGAAAGGATCCCAGAGTTTAGATTGGACAAACTTTATTAACCTTTCAGGAGTTTCAGAACGGTAGCTAATTTTTTTAATTCTTTACAACCTCTTCAACACGGAGTAGGCTGGTGTCCTCGCTCCCCTTTCTCTCTGTAAAGCGGGCTTTAAACATGTCCTAAAAGTCGGTAATATCTGGTCTTCCTGGATTCAAAGACTATCCAATTGGGCCAAAAACAAAAACTATATATGGTTCTTTTATCTCATCTTTCACAGAAGAGCAGCCCAAACACATTCAGTCCAAAAAGTTTTTGGGCGGGAAGAATGAACTGTAGTCAAACAACCTCATTATAATGAGCTCCACAGATGAAAATGTGCTATAATAAAGGGTGTAGATTTGCCATCTCTATCTTTTAGAGGTTTTAACCCTAGTTACTGAACTCCTCTGTAGCCATGCATACCCGAGTGGAACAGGGCGACCCCCGCCCACTCTTCCCCATGCCAAATAACGCAGTGCACATCAAGCTAGCAGAGAAACTGCTTTTTTATGGTTAAAAATGCCTAAAAGGAAGTCCGAAGACCCATTTTTGTATCCAGGGGGAAGTCGGAGCCGCTCAGACGTTGGTCATTTTCATTTTGGGGAAGCCATTTTTTGCTAGGCAGTGTGGAAGAGGTTTATGGAGCGAGCTGGGGACTCACCACACATGATTCCGAGCGCAGTGCTGAACACAGCCATGTAGCCGAAGTAGAAGGACGTCTGAAACAGCCCGTACATCCTGAGGAACAGAGACGAGACAACGGGGGGGGGGGGCTGGAACTCATTTTTTCTTTTTCTAAGGATTTTGAGCCTTTAACAAAGACTAGTACTCACTTAGTTTTGAAGAAATAGTAGTAAAAGGAGTACATGTAAACATAAACGGCGGTGGAAGCGGCGGAGAGGAAGCTCGTCCACTGCCTGTGGAGAGAGGACAAACCATTGGGATGAGTGTGCAAAACAGAAAAAACCTCAGCACTGGGGGGTGGATGGGGGGGTGGGTTACCATCTGTAGTCCTCGGCGTTGAGCAGGAAGTACGTGCACACAATGGTGACGCACACAGTCACAATGCAGAGGATGACCAGCACAAGCATCATGAAGCCGTACACGTAGTAGATCTTGTAGGCCCAGAAGGAGGTGAAGATGAAGTACCTGACGGAGGACAGAACAGACACTGAGGTTCCTCACCGTCCAATCACAGAGGCCGGCACTCGCCCTCAACTCGCCCAACAAACTTACATTTCGATGAAAATGGAACCGAACGGCAGGATTCCTCCGAGACACACGATGACAGCCGGCTCCATGAACCTGAAGATTGGGACAAACTGATGTGAGGACACCGGACACGCCACAGGAGGGAAGGGGATATGTGGCTTACAGGTTTCAGAGAAAGAAAAAGGAAAACATGAGGAAAATCCAAACGGAGGGCCTTGAAGTCACCGCTACCTTTCCCATCTGACGGCCGTGCCATTTCCCATGAAGCATAGGGGCCTGTGGCCACAGCCCCGACACGGCGGCTGACATTTGCAGCCAGAGTCTACAACGCTTAGCGTTTGTAGCTTAAGCTTCCCTAAACAGCCTGGAGATTTTTGGTCCAACTCACCAGGGCCTGAGACATTACACATCACAAACAAACCCCATAAAAAGGTTAAGCCACAGGATAACCTGAGAGGGAATAGTGACTATTTGAGGCTGCTGAGGTATAACGCGGTCAACGGTCCCATTCGGCTGCTTAGGTACAAAACATAAAGAAAATTTTTAAAACTCTCTGTGTCGGCGTGGCTCCACACCCACCATTTCTTCTCAGGGATCGGCCGCGGCACGGCGTTCACTCGGCACGGAAAGTTGGGCTGACCAGACAGATTCCTGCCCAAAATCGTCCCCACCAGGTTCAGCGGGAGGATGACGAAGAAGCAGATGCAGCAGACGGCAACCTGGAGAGGACACACAGTCATTTGTGGCCTTTGGCTGCGGCCAGAGGCACGCCTGTCAAGCCCAAAAAGAAAAACACAGTAGTAGAACTAATCTGGCTAAAAGCCCTCGCGGGCGGTAAACCAACCATAGTGCCGAAAGGGATGGCTCTGGAGGCGTGGTAGTAGATGGCGATGAAGTTGATGAAGAAGGCGGTTCCACACACCATGGCAGGGATCATGAAGGCCCCGATGAACATTTGTTTAATCCATCTCCGGCCTGTTTCGTTAAAGGACAAGTCACACGGGAGATGTAATTGCTTGGAGGGAAATGGTGCACTCAGTGACCGTGTCCGAACACGTGCTACAGGAACTCCTTTATTACCTCCTTGTTTTGCATACAGACTCCCCCCAAAGTAGCCATTCACGGGAGAAGTTGCAGCGTACACGAAAATGGCCGTGCTCAGCATGGATCCCCTCCTGTGGAGAGCAGGAAACGAGGAGTCAGGTGTTGTGTCAAAGTGCATCTTCGCTCACTCACAAAAAGCTGTCATTGTTTTCTCATTTCACCGGACAGTTTTTTATAGGCTCCAGAGGTGTTTTCACCATAGATAAACCATTGCTATTATTGTGTGAGAATTGAAAGACATTTTTTTATAAACTTGTCAAAGAAAAGTGGATTAACCGCGGGGACTATTTTCGGAATAGACCTAAGTATACATTTTTATAGTTGCTCCCATCATATTGTGTGTGCAGAACCCCGCAGTTGCAGCCAAACACTCACTCTGTGTACAGATCCTCCACCATCGCCACGATGATGACGATGAGGGAGACGGAGAAGATCTGGCAGCCGGAGCCAATGAGGGAGGAGAAGATCAGTGGGTGGCTAGATGGCCTAAACACATCTCCATGCACCTGCTTCCACCCGTATTCGTCCCCCAGATCTCTGTCCTGGTGGTACAAAGGAAGACAAACCACTTGAGTCACTTAAAAGCTTGAAGGCAAAACACATTAAGCAGATCACAAAACGGGAACTCGCCATGTCGTCCATCTCCTCCTCCTTGCTGTATCTGGCATAGTCCTTTCTCAGAGTCCTCATGAGAATCATGGACACAAGGCCCACCAGGAAAATCACCATCATGAAAGAGTTAAAGATGGAGAACCAGTGAATCTAGAAAGGAAACGTGCAGATCACTTATTTTAACAGCTCTTATGTCCCAACCCGTATGAGAAAATGCTTATGAGGTGATTTGGAAATGTCTGTGCTCACCCTGTGCTGAAAGAAGGATGGATCCAGGTATTTGTCAAACCTGTCCTCAAACTTTACATCTGACTTCTTCCATTTCACCTGTGGCGGGAAAGGTTTGCATCAATGTCATTTCATATCCACTGGAAAGAACTGACAAGAGCAGAGGGACAACTACTCACAGAGTAAGACATGGGGATCTTTGTGTTTGGCACAAGTTTCACTTTGCCTTCACTGGTCAGGTTGACGTCAACGATCCTATTGCCATTAAAGCCAATCTCCAGCTTCTTATAGGTCCACAGGTAGTGTTCTTCTCCGTTTTCGTCCGCCTCACCGACAATACCTTTAACAAAAAAATACATGCGTACAGGACGTAGTTCGGGATTCAGTATTTAAACATAATGTCATCAGGATATGCAAACAGCAGGTCTTTGGCTACATATCATAAACAGTCAGAACGTGTGAAACCAAACAGAAGGCGACCATGACCTGTTAACTTTGTAATAGCAGAATCTGTGCCAGTGTTCTGTTCAGTTTCCATTGATACAAGACAATCGGCTCAACATTTAGCTTTACTTTATTTCAGGTTTGCAACGTTTAACAGTCTGCTGGACCACTTTGTGCTCTACATGTTGTCAATACGCGATAAAAATCCAACTGAGCATCTTTAAGTTTGACAGCGCGTTCTTAGTTATGCAGCTCTGCTTCCCTTTACATAAACTCAGACATGATGGCTTAATTATCTTGCGGTTAAGCCCAACAATTAGTTCAATTTCAGTCTGTCACAACCATCCATATAAAACACACACCACACAGAATTGAGCAAATATCAGCACCACACCCTCTACCTACAACATCCGCTTGCCATATTTAAGCTGCTGCAGGAGTGGCAACACTGCAAATATGTGAGTGACCACAGAGGTAAGCTGGTAGAATGGCAGCTCTGAGAAGAGCTATTAACACCAATGAGTCATTAACATCCATTTCATGGGACAATTCACTTGACCTAAAATGCCACTTTCAACACCTGAATGGACGAAGGGAGTCAATCTGCAGGGTCTGTGTCAGAGATAAGTTAAGAAAATATACAACAAAGCATAAATTGGGTGAGATCAAACGGTCTGCACCATAATTACATGTAAGGCAGAGCTAAAGCTTAAGTTTACGAAACCAAATTCATTATCGTTCACAAAGTGTTCACTGATAAGTGGGATTTTGGCAGCAGAAACCACAAAACACAGAAAAATGATACAAGATGAAACCATAGTGAAACCTTAGTGGAAAGAAGGACTATTGTGCTGCTTTATTTCACCTCAGGTGCTCAATGCCTTGTTCTTTGTGAAAGATATATAATATTTCCAAGGACGAGCTTTTTGTAATGGATCTCAGGTGTTGAAGACGCTCAACGCAGGTTTAATGAAACATCAGGGCAAAAACCAAAGCCTTACACCAAAAGGAAGAAAAGTATCATTACTCACCCCAGATGGGAAGGTCATCGATGTACATTTGGTACCAGTAGTGATTCTTTATGGCATAGACAAAAGCATCCCGTTTGGGTTTGTCCAGATCAATCTCACAGTATGTTGACTGCAGGACTTCATCTACAAAAACAAATGTGTTGGGCTCAGTGGGAAATACAGAGCATGTTACCAAGACGTTCATACAGAACATTAATGATCTGCCCCGGATTTACATGATGCAAAAAGTGAATTTTTTTAAAACAAATTACCTTTGAACTTTATGTCCAGCCCGCTGAATTCCAGCTCTACTCCCTGCAGGGCCTCTCCGAGTGTTTCGTGGTAATGACTGATGGTCTTCTTAGAGCCCGCGCAGAAGGGCAAAGAGAAATACTTGTACGTCTCCTGACGGTTGTGGTAAGGCCCAACAGTGTTCATCCACAAAACTACCTCCTCTTTATCTTTGTACTGTAAAAGAGACAGCAGAAGAATTATCAGAGAGTTTTCAAGGTCCACAATACCCGTTTTGCTAGTCCAGCTGGTTTTCATATTGGAGCCTTTTAATGTCCACAAGGACAGAAATAAGTAACTTAACCGTCGTGTGTCCTCCAGGGGTCATTCACAACCCGGATTCGATGAATCCGCGTTCAAATTAATGAAAAAAACACTGGGGTTTAAAGAGGATGGTGACTTTAAAGTGTGACACGCACTGCACACTGAGAGAGATTGTATTTTTCCTTGCTGTTAGATTCAAATTCATGCAAACCAATATTACTACAGCCCAGATATCGGTGCAAGCAAGCGCCTGTGCACACCAAGAACTGATAAGCCTTGTCGGTGTTTGCTTACGTTTCAAGCAAGCGGACGTAAGTGTTTCTCCACTCACTCATACGTGAGTTTTTACGTCTCGAATATCGTTTGATTAGCGTGTGAGAAAGATAACAGCCTGGGGGCTAGTTAACCAAATTTAAACCGGGTTAAATATTTCACAGGGGGAAATAAAATTTCTCCCCAGTGTTTATACAAAACATGTTAACCATACGTGGAGTTTGTTTAGCTAGAGTTGCTTGTTGCTAACAGCCCGTTTCCTTATGAACAACTACCAACGTTAGCTAGCTGCTAACTTGAGAGCAGTTTCCGCCGGTGCTCAAGAAAGCTTGTAAAGACAAGTGTGGAAGACGTGCTACCAAGCTAGCAAGCAAGCGGCAGCTCTAAGCACTTAGGGCCGACAACGGCTGACATGTCACCGAGCTTTTTGAATGCTTGTCTGGTTAATAGCTAACACAGTATCGGTGCAAATGCCCCCGCCTCAAGTCATGAGCCCTGACATGTCTTTAAGAGTGCAGCTAGCTATAACTAGCTATAGTTAGCAGGGTACACAGAGCACAAACGTCCATTATTTTCAAGGCTCCCCCTTTTTTCAGTCGGCCCCGCAAAACGCTGTCTTACCGTGTGGTCGTGTTCATCTGCGTCGACAGGTAAAAAAGGCCCTACTACTACGAGAAAAGCCACCGCCGCTGCCACCTTCCACCTGGAAGACCCCATTTTTTGTCGGTGAAAGTATGCAGAAAGATTGGGGATGTTAGCTTCGCAGGGCTATCCCACCTTCTTCCTGGTTGTATGACAGAGGCAATTTTCAGGGATGCTCTCGTACGCATATGGCGTAAGCGTCTCGCGAGCTCTCATCGCGATCCCATTGGAATGGCTGAGCCGAGTCACGTGGTGCCCCACAGCCTCTCAGCGCGTAACGCGATGGCTCGGGCGGTGAGTTGTGGAACGCTGTCGGCGCATCTTCCGCAGTCTTCAGCCACGTCATCCGACTGCTGAGAGCGGAGCTTCGCTTCTGACAGAGCTGCTGCATGACGTCCGATCCTGGCACGCCGTTACGAGGAAGCCAGCGCACCAGTTGCAGAAACGGGAACAAAACTGAGTAACCCCAAACTGCTTGGATTGACTAGTAAAGTTTCCCAAAGTATAATGCCACTCACTTATGCCAAGGCGTAAAAAATCCAATCTAATAGCAGGCGCTTACTTAAATGATACTGGGGAATTTTAGTTTGACAGAAAATTTTAATCAAAGTTCATTGTTATTAAAGATAATTGGGTCGTTTGTTCACTAAAGATTTATCTCCAGGGGCAGTCAGACTTTTTAAATATCTTTCATCAGCATTGTGGAAATGTTCAAATCCCAGCAAATTACTTGGGAGTTTAATTTAATTTACCGCAAAACTTGTCAAGAATCTGGGCTTTTTGTGTCAGTTCAATCTCTGTGGGGTTCACTTCCCAGCATCCCTGAAAACAAAACAACCCGCCCGACTCAGCAGATTCAACGCGGAGCGTTTTGATCCTGCTGTTGTTCCGTCTCACAAACAGAAGACTCCTAATGGTTCAACAGGCCCTTAGAGGTTTTAAAAGTCAGCCAAAGTGACAGCCGTGTCATTTTATTTAGTGACTTTCTTAGAGTCAAAGTTGTGCAATGTTCCCATATGGAATGGGAGTATAACCGTTATTATTTCCCCTGAGACCAATATGTCGATGTCTGTTTTCGTCACACAGAAAGTCCGCTGCTGCTTTTCTGAAGGGTGTCGCACACTTATTAAACTGCAATGAAGTCGACTTTTAAAATCTCAACTGAACTTTCTCTTTAACTATTTCACTATAGTGTCAAATCCCTGACAAAGAACTACCTGGATATCATCCATTAAGACCGTGAACTTACCCTTTAAAGCTTTGGATTTAAAAACTGATGCGCTCAAATCCAGTTTAAGAATCAGATGAAGCTAATTTATTTTTCAAGTTCTATTTAGAAGTTAAAAAAGAAGAAAATAAACGGACGGAAAATAACAGAAAATGAACAATAACCAGTGATTAAGAAACAGATTTATCCATTAATGTGAAAAACACATTGCCACTCATAATATAAATGTTTAAGTAATTTCTTTAGCACCAGATCCATTGAATTAAAAAAAAATCAAATAAAGCAGATGATAAAAGGCGGTCAGCGTCCTCCGTCAGAGTCGTTTTTCAACTTCACAGAGACGACACAAACCCCCTGAAAGGTAGAGAGGAAGTGATCGGAAAAAGGTTTTCATTTTGTGGGTGCAAAATACGTCATAGTTTTAGTAAACCACCGCCGAGCCTTCCCGGTCCACTCACGTTAAGACCTCTGGTAATTTAGGGTCTCGGTATAGGCCGTTGTGGAGATATCCCAGAGAACCGTCAAACGTCACCAGCTTGACTCGATCTGTGCTCTGAGCGCTGGCAGCAGCCTCATACGTCTGAGAGTTGAGAAAAAACAAACAAAAAAACAATTCTCATCTTGTGAAAACTACACAGCTGTTCTAGAGGCGCTGTCTTAATTCGCAGTAGCCGTACCTGCCGAGCTATCTGGATGGGAACTAAGTGGTCATCCTCGGAGTGAAGGAAAAGTATGGGGCTCTTCATTTTCTTCAAGCTATGGGGGAAAAGAAAAACATTGAAATAGCCATTGCATCATTAGAGAATCAAAGTTTCAGATGTTGCAAGCCAGTATGTTTGCCTTACTTTTTTTCTGAGGGGAACACAACCTTATTTTGTGCCCATGGCTCAGGGAACAAGTAACCAATACCTGGGTATTTCCAGTAATACTTTAACACACACAGACGCACAAAAAGAGTCAATTTTACATGGTTATGAGCCATCCAATAAAAGGTACACAACAAATGTAAAATGTTATGTTTACCCATATAAAAGGATGAAAATGTATGTTCTGTCGATCTGTGTTGAACGCACCCTCCAGGATCACACCGTCGAAGACCACATCTGGAAAAAAGACGAACTGACATGTTGGAATAGGGTCCTCTCATCCGTTTTGACAAATTTCTCTGGTAGCAAAACTTGCCTCGCTCAAGCAGTTTGACGGCAGTGTTGGTGGCCACCCTGCACAGAGACAGTTATTACACTGTTAAAACTGACGGATCACTTCAAAGCTCCTCAATATACATTTTTAAATGGGATGTGCATTTAAGGAAAAACTGCACGGATAACCAGCGTCTATCAAAACTGACCCAGTGCCCAGAGAGTGTCCCCAGATGACAACCAGGCTATCTCCAGCGCGAGCTTTGACCCAGTTGTATAAATAGAGGGCATCCGTGGTTAGACCGGCTTCAGTAGGCTCTCCTGTCGAGTCTCCAAATCCTGAAAGAGTTTCTCACGTCACCTGCCGTTTGCTGGCACTCCTTTTTTCTTCTTTAAATGGCCACAAGGTGGCAGTCACTCAAAGGCAATCCTGCACTCAGAGCTGACCTGGGGTTGAACTGTGTCTTTAGTCTGCACCGCTGCAAACTACACACCAAACACAACTTACGCTGGTCTACGGGGCTCATGTGGCTGGAAACAAATTAAAAGGAGAGGGCTGTGCATCAGTATGGAGAGAAAGCCTGCATCACGTACCTCTGTAGTCAGGCACCAGCACGTGGTAGCCTAGTGCACTCAGTAACTGTTGACACATAGCTGTGATTAGTCACCAAAATAGCAAATAAATAATATACCATTTTTAAAAAGAATCAAGGGAAGGTGCTAGTCAGAGTCACTCACTTTTGCCACTCCAACCCGGTGTGGAGCAGCCCTGTGGAGATGATTAACAAACACAAACGGCAAAAAGTTAAACATTTTTGGAGAAAAAAAACAAGCAGATGCTGAGTAATGTCCAGCTTCTTTTCACCTTAGAGAGTAGCTGTTACACAGATGCATTATTGACCGTACCTTGTTCCTGTGTTCCCATGAAGGTAAATAAAAACTGGACTTCCATCGTTTAAAGTGCTCTGATACCAGGACAGATCCTTCCCTTGTGCCTCTTTCCACCGACTCTCGGGGACGGTGTGCCTAACAAGATTTAAGCAGGTACAGCTGATCATTGAGGGGATACGCCCAACCTCTATTTGCCATTATTGTTGATTATAAAAAAATCTTAATCTGAAATTTCTGACCATACACCCAGGGAAATTCCCTCCTCTGATGTTAAGTACATGTTGATGGTATGATTAAGGGAGAAATCAGCAGGTCGGGCGAGATCCACAAAGAAAGGCAAGCTGACTAGAAAAGAGCACAGGTTGGTTTGTTATTTTATTTTGTTTGTGTGTGTGTGTTGTCATTGGGTAACCTGACAAACGATAGGCAGAAAATACACCCACTCACCTCTGTGTGTGTAAACAAAGTGCTGAATCAAATCTGGGAGTACCTTCAGCATGACAGGTGCCAAAATACAGATGGCAAAGAGGGCCAATAAACCCCTTTTTAACCACCCACTAGAGCTGAAAGCAGAGACAGGGAGATTAAAAACCATCAGACCTCACAGATTTGGACTGCTACTTTCTGCAAGGCATCAAAAGTAAATAAACACCAAAGATGGCTCTCTGAAGAAGCCTCACAGTAAGTCTATCACAGCAGACTGACAGACGGAGTCATAAGCACTATACATTACCATTGATTATCTTTTTTTATTTTTTATCTAAAGAGCACTTGGAGAAAGTGATCTTTTGCCAAGTTCAATGTTCTGTCTTGGTACTTTAAACCAAATCAAACAGATTCAATAGCCCTGCCAAGGCTCCGTCTCGATGAGCCCCTAAAAACCGGGCCTGGCAGTTATTCAACAGCACTGCTGACAAAGAGCACTGAAAACGCATCCTTGCATCAGCTCTCACCTTTGGCATTCAAACAGTAGCTTTTGTTAACCATTGATGAGTGTAAGTCTCACTCCCTGCTCTCATCAAATGGCGACTGCTGAAAAGAAAACCATCTAAAACTCCATTTAGGCTTTTAAAAAATGGAAAATGCAACAGATGTGCATTGCGTGTACAATCAGTTGTATGTTCAGCACAAAATGTATAGAAACACTAACATGGAAGAGGAGAGCTGAGAGAGCTGAATGATCTAATCACTGGAGTGAGTCTTGACTCCCCTGGAGACGGGAGCAGAAGAGAGGATGCGTTCCACACTATAGCCAATTAATGGACAATACACCCCAGCCCCTTCCATTAGCACTCTAATCAGCCAGAAGAGCCATTTTAGCTGAAGACTGATCTCTTCACTGCTTGAGGGAAATGTATAGGAGGTCATTTATCCCACACGCCAATAGGCCGCCAAGTGTGAACTCCCTCTCTTCTCTAGAAATAGAAACGACCAAAAGCTCACCCTGGATTTTTTTCCCCTTATAAACCAATGCCCAAGTATGATGTAATGAAGAGAGCACTTCATCTCATTCGTAGGCCATTGTTTTATTTCAGTTTTAGCATTATGAATTCAATACAGCAGTAATGTGAGAAAAATTTAGTCAGGAATAACATATTTTGGCATATTGCTTGTTGGCATGTTTAGCGGTCTGTTTCAGTGCTGTTTCGGAGTGTTTTTTTGTAGCTGCAATTTTCATAATACTTAATTACATCATAACATATTCATCCTTTATAGGAATATTTACGTATCACAAGTAAAGTTTTGATAAAAACCCTGCAGATTATTAAAAGCTCAAGCCATCCACCACCTGATTTTTGCCTCGATTTGAAAACACTAATAAAATCATTAGGGGTTATCTATTTCAACGTTCAAATTCTCTTTTCCTAAGTGAACATTGTCTACACCCTTTAAGAAGCAAAGATAGGCAGAGGATCTGCAGCTTTTCTAAAAGACGTGTGAAATAAATCATCAACCAGGTTTTTTAAAAGAATTTTCCTCAAAGACAGACTGGAAGAGACATGCATACTTCTCCCGTAACGCTGCAGATCATCAATAAACCATTCCTTATATCTAGAGGAATTTTAGAGTTTGAAGAGGAAGGAAGTGAGTCTAAGTGGCCTCTGATCGGACAGATAGCTTCGAGACCTGTCCTTCATCTATAGCGGATGTGCAAAGGGAAGCTTTGTTGACCTAATTTGGAGGAAGCTTTGACTTTTGTGATGTCTGATGTCTATGAGGGACCATCGAAACATATTTTGCTAAAAGAAAAATTATCCAAGATTTCCAGATTAATAGCAAAGAGGGGTCAGACAGGCTGTTAATCTGGTCCAACATCCAGACCCTTTGTGATCAATACAGCATTAATCCAGAAATATTAGACCAACAACTGTTGCCTTCTTTAAATGCTTTAAAGAAAATCTATAGTCATGTGAGCTCCCAGGACCAAATTACCAACCCACTGGGACTGAGGTGAATATAGGTGGCCTCATTGTGACAGAAAAAGTAAAAGAAGTTGTAAATGGAGATAAATGAACCATAAAGTTATAAAACTTTGCTCTGAGTGCATATCGCACTTAATTCAGTAAAGTATTAAGTCCTATCACAAAAGATAAATAACTACATCCGGTTGTTTGATCTTTTCGTATTTATGGTGCGATTGCGGGAACGTCACCCATTGCGACACACAACCATCAATACTAATTATTTATAGGAAACCAAGTCTAACTGGATGCATTTTGTAGCACATGGAAAGACTCTCTTTACTCCATAACAGGAAAATCCACCCATAAACCCAGCTGAGGGCAGGAGTCCTATAAAGCTAAAGAAAAAAAGAAGGCGTCACGCGCTAGCTACCATACGTAACTTACTGCGTCCCCTCCTTCTGAGCTTTGACGTTCTTGCGGACACTACTTGGGTGGGAGGTCGAACCTCTCTGTTTCACGGCCCTCTTCTTCATACTTTACCGTTGGTTATACTTCACAACAAAATGTGTTAGGCGTTACGTGGTCAAACGCCTGTCCATACTCGCGCGCGCAGACTTTGACCAACTTTTGTCAAAGTACAGTCTACTTGCGAGGAGGGGGCGGGGCTTTCGATTTTTAAGGTAGCACCCCTACCTGCGGTTCACAAGAGGACAATGCATCTTACACGTGTTGCCACCTTAAATAGAGAATGCACAAATTGGACTTTGTGCTGCGAATAGTTTTTGATTATCCTCAACGTGCATTAGCTCACTAATACTAATAGTAATAGAAATAAGGCCATGTATTGCAGCCTAGTAAAATGTAGCTTTTCTGCTAGATAGTTGAACAAAGAATAGATAAGTGAAGCCCCATTTAATTTCTTTATGTTTTGTTTCTACAAAGCCAGATCTTTTAGTCACAGATTCTTTCCACTGTGTTTACTATAACTGAAAAATCTGGCCATTTTTAAGACGCAGGTTATTACTTTGAAATTGATCCACAATTTGGTGATGTGTTTTGTTTTGCAGTCTGCAGAACACCTGTCCCCTCTATAGTGCTTTTTAAATACCCTAGTTCGTCACTGATCTTTTGCAGTATCTGTTGCCATCATCACAATAAATATGTTGCTACCACAATGTTAAACATGAGCTGTTCTTTTCAGAAAAATGTAAACTGTAACAAATGTAATAGTATTTATGAATATTTTTAATCTTTGCTCACTAAAAACACTATCTCAAGAAATTTGTAAATGATTGGACTCTGTCTTTTTCCACAAATTTATTGAATAAAGTTGTAACATTTTTTAACCATTGAGTTGATTCCCTAGCTGAAAACTTGCTCATTATATTCTGCTGGGTGTACTTACAAAGCCTGAGGAAATTGGATAAATGGAAGACAAAAGAAGTGGCAAGCCTAAATCAGTACATTGCATATTTATTTTCTGCAAGAGAATATGTATCATTATCTACATTTACATTTCAGTGGCCAAGATATAACCTTACTCTTATAGGTACAAATGTTCCTTCCATTTTCAAATTATTGCTCTTTCTGAATTAAAGTCTCATTCACAAGCCGAAGGCCTTTTTCGGAGCATATATTAAGCATCTGGTAGATTTCCCATAGCAGGGAGATTAATTATGTGCTTTAGATTTCTGGTCCAATAATCAGTCATAGGCTTGAAATAAATAGCTATTTAAACCTCAATAGGAACAGACCCAGGAAAGAGGTTAACATTAACTGGGGTAATTTTGCTCAACTTATAAATGATTATGTGCTAAAAAGTCAATTAAGAAGAAAATTCTCCAAATATGAGACATATTCAAACATAACTGACCAGTTTTCTTTTTTCAGCACATGGATATCAGCTCAATAAAAGATGACAACGTTTCAGATGGCCACTTCAATTACTGTTAGGTTCAGGCTGTATGAGAGAGCCAACAGAGAGGACACTGGTAGCAGGAGAGCCCTCAGGAGCCCCATGAGTCAGGTACACACCGAATGTCACCTGTAAGTCACAAAACAACAAGTTTGAGCAAACACACTTAAAGTGCTTATACAGACTCACAGCTCTGACATGAGGGGATGCTAATAGTTTCTGACCCACCTTCCCGGCACGGTGGGCAGACAGGGACAAAAGCGGCTCCTTTGTTTTGGTCCCCGTGTCCTGGTCTATTCCAACCATCTGGCATCTTCCACACCGGCCTGCAACCTTTATGGTTTATCACAGAGGCAGCACATTCATTCCAGAGGGGCAAAGCAGTTTTTATCAGCTTTTAAGGCATTTGAAGATTTAAACATTTATCTCAAAGTGTCAGCTCACCATGAATCGAGTGTTGCCAATAATCAAGTGTGACCAATTATCCTCCTCAAATGGTTCTACTCCAGCGATGACTAAATTGGCTCGGAAGCGCCTAATGACATTTTGTGTGTCAGGCAGCTGATCGCCCTCACAACCATCCTGCCTGAGAGTGGGAATGTGGAAATTGCATGTTATTTTACACTGCGGCACATGAATGAGCCAGTGTGATGTAAAAATGGATGGACGTCAACGCATCCTTCAGCAATTCTGAATGGCATCTTGTGTGTTAGAACCTGCTGCTCATCAGATTCTGAATAAGCTCCACGCTGACACGGTTGATCATAAGATACTGAGCTTCATTCACCAGGGAGAGGAACGGGGAGCAGGCGGCTAGAAAAGAAAACTTCACATTACCCTCAGAGATTCTTTTTAAAAATGAAAAGTGAAACAGTCTGACTGGTGATTTCCATAAAGTCTACAAAAATAGGTAGGTAATTATGGATGAAGAGAGATCCATCTGTTATCAGTTTATCCTTTCAAACTTAAAACAATTAAATAAACGCCAGTTTAAGCCCAGATGCTGAGGAAAAAGCTGCTACTAAATGGACCTTTTAATAAGATGTTTAAAATCAATATCTGATTTCACATTCTGGCACACGAACTGAATGAAAAACTGAAAAATAATTCATCATATTGATGCAAAACACTGCAATTTGTCAATCCACAACAGTCTGAGTAAAAGCCCAGCACATATACAGATATTGCAAAATCTACCCATGAGAAAAGTTGACTTTTTATGAGGAGAATTACTCGGCATGTGAACGCAGTTACGGAGAGTTTCTTTTGGCTCTGCAGGGAGCAGTCTTAGACCTGAGAGAATAGCCAAGATGATGTTATCAGGAGTATCTCACACTGGGCTCGCAGACCAATAGTCAAAAGAAAGCCTGGATTACTTACTCTGAAAGGCACGGGCCTTTGCCAGTCGGAGGGGATTATGTGAAATGATGTTTCTATTGCGTTACGAGAAATGAAAGACGAGGAAAAATACATTGTTTTAAACTATAACGTGCACCCATAGTCGAAGACAATTTGAAGACTGGCGAAAAACTGATTTAAAAGAGATTAGTTACAACGATATCTTAATATATGTTCTCTAATTTAAGCAAACTCATAAAATAAGGGATCCCATACTTCCTATGATGTAACTCAAGGTGCTGGATCTCTGGGATCCCTCTGGGCGGCTAAATACCCATAACTTTCAAACGTACTATTTCAGGCTCAAGCTGAGATAACTGCTTTAAAACAGAGTGTTACAAACCCCTGCTTTCATCTGAACAGTATTAAACTGATGCAATGCCAAGATAGATTTTTCCTGTATTCCATATCTCCCATTCTTGCAAATCCACCTATTCATCCACTGTTTATTCTACTAATTTCTTGTAGGGTCGTGGTGCAAGGGGGTGCCGGAGCTGGAGCCTATTTGAGCAGTTATTGGGCCAGAGGCAGGGTGCACCCGGGACAGGTTGGCAGTCCATCACCGGTAAACTGATTATAATCCCTCACCATTGATGTTGACAGATTGATTTTATTTTGATCCACTGCTTCATTAAAAAACATTCTGACCGGGCTCAGGACCAACGCTACCCTTCAAAAGGATTGTCGTCCTACAGAGATCACCTCTGGAGCAATGTGTAAAATAAGGGCCACCACTTGGTCACTAAAAGCCTTTCTCACACTGGCCATGAGGCGATTATTAGGAAAACACAGAAAAAAAATGCAAAGAAGGGGCCAGAAGGAGAAAGACCCCGCTTTTCTAATGGAACAATGGAATCTGTTGCAGGTTGCTGGAAAATCTTTGTTGCTTTTGGTTTATATGAGGGGTTTTACGAGCTCCATGCAGGCCTATGGACTTCATTCCATCTGTGAATTATGGTGAGGAGTATATAATTGCTGCATCAGCTCCAAGTTGGCTTGGCATCATGACAGGCCAAGAATTCTGAATTATTCCTGTGTTTTCTAAAGGCAAAATGTCAAGACATCACTCCATTAACCTAACATCAAATAAAAGAGGGTTACACAACAAGACCGCGGTCCTGGTGAAAGGGCAATAAATTGTCCTGAATTTAGTCAAGACGTATGAAAATATCCAAAGCTAAAGTTGAAGTGTTAAAAATAACAAAGATCAGAACACAAAAACTTGGTACCAAAAGCACCCCTTCCTGCTGACAACCAACAGCATCCACAATCAATATTATCTTTTAGCTTTTAAACTCTGACAACTCTGAAAGCGCCCTGCCCTCTGCAACATGCAGCATGAGAACAGCTCGCCTACAGTGAGGCCGACAAATCCAGAATAAACAGAGAGAAGAAAAAAGCAAATCAAACGAGCCTCCTATAAAGATACCTTCACCGGGCTTCTTCTTCCTCATTTCTCGGGTGAATTCAGGATTTTGTCTTATCAGGCGGCACGGCTGTCCGAGGAAGTCTGAAAGCCAGGATGCAGCCTCGTCCCCACAGTCAACAGCCTCCACCCTGGGGAATTCAACCCAATTATATTCAGGAGAACCCCGGGGGAAATCTACAGAGTTTTGATGGTGCAACATCTAATCCAAGAATCAGTTGTTGTTTTTTTTAAACTTGTGACATGTGTCATGTGGGGATCTGTCAGAGAAGATTAATTTCTCTTGCCCATTGTTTGTCTTTTTTCTATAAAAAATATATAGGCGAAAGGAGATTCTTAAGAGCAGAGATAGAAGCCCCAGAAAGAGATTTACTGACAAAAATAAAGCAGACTAAAGAAGACTGCAGATAAATATAGGAGAAATATCTAAAACAAAGAACAGGTGTGGCGGCACTCCCGGCTCACCTGTCACCGCAAACTTTACTGTGACACACACGAGAGGCCGGGCTCAGCTCCAAGTGGTTCTCGAGTGGAACCGAAATGGTATCCATTCCTGCGGGGCAAAAGAAAAGAAGGAGAAAAAACTAAGAAAAAGGAATGTCTTAGAACCATACAGGAGACGATCCCCCTGGATGGAAACGTTGTGCTTTAAGCAGCGGGCCGTGCAGAGGCGCTCTGACCCGGCGCCTGGAGCAGCAATCTGTTCGAGGGGAGGTGGACTTGTGGGAGAATGAGGCACAGGCGCGTCTCCCGCTTCTGGCTCAGGCACACGCCGTTCCCGTTCACCACCATCCAGCCTCTGTCGTACAGCAGACCCAGCGGTCCCACCGGCCAGTCGTGCACCTGCGCGATCAACAGCCCAGAGTCAAAACCCAGACGGGCCAAGCCAACGGAGCGGAGGGACGTGGGCCGGGCCGCCGGCAGCTCGGACCTCGAACGCGCCGCAGGATTTGACGGGGTAGATGTAAATGTTGGTCAGGGTGTAAGGCTCCCCGCGGCTGTTTGAGTCGGCGTGTCCTGATCCCCTCAGGGAAGCCTCTGTGGGTTGGATTTTCACTGCTTTGTCTGCTTCCCTGGCGACTTCTCTCATTGAAAAGCAGCGGCTCGAACCCTCGGGTGCCGCCTCGGCTGTTTTCAGCCTCCTCAGCCTCTCCTGGTCCACTGAGACCGGTTTCTCCACAAAGCACTCTGCGACAAAGTGTAGGAACTTTTGACAGTCGTCAAAGGTTGACATGTAGCCAAAGGACACTCGAACAGATCCGGTCGGCTGGCCGTCCACCAAGTCCACGCTGTCTCCGCAGACGTGGCCTGCCTTGAAGAGAAAAGGACTCTTTCATTTCCATCCCCTCTGCCCTCCCGAGCAGACCCGGACGACTTTTCCAATTTCCTTAATCTCTGACCTCCAGGTTTCTCTTCATCTGCTCGCCGGTGATGCCGAGAAAGGCCTGACAGGCGCCGGTGTTGCAGAAGCAGCCCGTGCGCACGTGAATGTTGTACAAACTGGCCATTCGGTCCACCTGAGGACAGCGGAGGGATTGGCTGTGACATAAAGCGGGAGCTTCCTATGCACAAGCATGAAAAAAATCAAAGCATTGTAAAACTTGAATTAGCCCAGTGTACCATATGCACCTGTGAATACCCAATTATCCGTCCGTGAGAATCCAGGAGGTTGAAGTTCAGGATCGCTCCCTGATTGACTGAGCTTTCAAACTGACCTTCGGTGTACACCTGAGCCACCGGTTTCCCGTTGCCATGGCAAAGGCTTGAGAGCAGCAAGTAAGTGTAGCGAGCCAAACCAAACGTGTGCTGCTGGACGTTCTGCATGCTCCCTGCAGGCAGAAATAGAATCGAGACGGTAATGCTTCTTGTGTTATCCTGAAGTAGGTTATCATTAGATAAAGAAGACACCCCGCACGTGCCACCTGCGTCTGCTCTGAAAGGACAGATTCCATCTTCCCATTTCAATCAACACGCTCTATCACAGTACCTGTGATCCTGTAAAGGGACTCAAAGCCATGATTTACAGCAATGATGTCCAGGAAAGACACGGTGCCGTCTTCAAATCTTCACCATGTAAAGGAAGAAAAAAAAAGAGTCAAAGAAAATGCCATTTAGCATGAACACGCCAAGACGATTAAGCTCTCTAAGACTATTTGGTATCTTTCAGACTTCCACAATACTTAACCTGTCAGAAATGTTTGCAGCCTGCACATAATAATCTTCTCCCGAGAGGTAAGCCGCTGCTGTGCCTCCTCCGAAATAAGCCTTCCTTAGTACGCCTGCCGCACTGTTCCGGACGAGCAGAGCCCCCAGACCGGTGGGGAAGCCAAACATCTTGTAGAAAGAGATGGGGATGAAATCGGCGGGGCACTCCTGCAGGTCCAGGGGGGAGCAGCTGACCAGCGAGGCCGCGTCCAGCAGCACGAACCAGCGACCCCGGTGGTCACATGCCGGGTAGAGCCGCCTCGCCTGAATGCTCTTCACGTGGCCAAGCGGGTACTTCCTCCCAGAGAAGTTGCTCTGCGCCGGGTAGCAGAAGAGATGCGCCGTCTGGCCAACGACGTCTTGGCCTTGAGCCTCGACCTGGACCTGGCGTTCCAGCTCCGCCGGCCGGACCGGCAGGGCCAGCGCCCCCAGGGCCGAGGCCGTCCCCCTCATGCCCACCACCGAGGTGTGGTTGTCGGTGAGGTAGCAGAAGCGGCTCCCCGTTTCCTTCCCGGCCGGCGGGCTCCAGGGGAAACTCTCGGACACTAATTTGAGCGCGGCTGTGCAGCCAGAAGTGAAAATCACCGAGTACTCCTCGGGGGTGGTGTTAAAATGCTGCAACACCCTGCAAGAGAAGCGTTCGGCTGTTAACTCGTTTAATGCAGCAAAGCGGCTCCCCGGCTGGCCACGAAGGGCGGGCAAAGCCCCTCACCTGTATCTGACCCCCTCTATTGTGTCATGTGTGAGTCTGCTGCTGGGGCTGTGGCTGTGAGGGTTTCCTGTTGGGTTGGGGGGGACACAGTCCTAAGCTCAGCGGCTGAGTTTATATAGATGTTCACGCATTTAGCAGACGCTTTTATCCAAAGCGACTTACACAGTAAACAGTAGACACAATGATACAATTATCATAAATATGACAATAAGTCAAGGACTTGGAAATAAGACTAGGAAAATCCCTAGTCAGAGTCAGTGGTGACAGCAAAGAGAGAGAGGGAAGAGCAGAAAGAGTAGTAGAGGGGGTACAGAGTTATGGGTAAGAGTTAGGATAGGGTCAATAACACAGAGGCAAAAGTAAACGTGAAAAACACAGTTTCACCGTAAACACCGGTGGATAGGTCCCGGAAATAGTCCCTGAGCAGAGACTCGGGGTACAGGGTGGCAGCAGCATGGTCCAAATAGGTCACTCCTGTGGACAGCAGAGGGGCGGACACGTGAGGGGACTGGTGCCCCGTTACTTCTGCCCGGTACCGTACACACGCACACACACGCACACGCACGCACACACGCACACGCACTACCTCTGATCCGGCTGAACTCTCGCTCAATAACCTCTCGGAACTCTCCCCCGTAGCCGTAGCGGCCGCAGAGGCGCTGAAAGCTTTCCAAAGTGCAGAGATTGTGGAACTCCATCGCTCGCCTCGCCAAGTGCCCGGCAGACCTCCCCGCAGGCCAGCTGACCAAAAAAAAAAGATCCACTCCCACGTCCACTCCGGCGCACTCACGACCCGATCGGGGTCTAAGTCCAGTGATCAGCACTCTGTCTTTGAAGCTGTCGCCACTTTGTAGTCATCATGCTTCCTTGTTGTTCGATAACAGAGACACACACAGACACACACAGACACACACACACACACACACACACAGACACGGACCCTTATGCGAGGAGAAAGGTTTGGTCTCAGTGGGTGCATTTCTGGGCTCACAGCAGACCTCACCACATGTTGAGAAGGGATGACTTAGTGTTTTTCACTCCATCCAACATTTATTTTCCGTCTACAGGCTTGGACAGATATGTGGCCTTTTTTTATTATATAAAGGCTAAAATGTTTAGAGGCTTCCTACCAAATTAACACCTTATCTAATTATAGGACTCAAGGGGACGTTGTTGTCACGCGTGTCACGAGGTGGAACCAAATTATGCACCCAATGTCCCAGTTGCAGCCAAAAAAGGCATTACAGTGCATAAGGAAGTGGATAGAAATAAATAATATATTGGGATAATTGAAAGAGAAACAGTGACAATATTAATATGATAAAAACAAGGTAAACAGCCATATGAACATGAGCAGAGAGGTGTGAACAGAGCAGCTAATGAGTAACAGACACGGAAATAAGCTCTTTGGACAGCATGGACTCTTATAGATGTGTTGCATAGATGTGATACAGATCTGATGAAATGCTTGGATGGATTTTCCCCCCAGGATTTTCACGAAAACTCTTTCGCAGCGTAGTTACTGTTGGCACATGCATTTGTTTGACATACATGCTCTAGCCAATTCCGTTCCAATTACAGGGACTATTGTATTTGATCTTCCTGTGAATTTCAAATGGCTTTATTTGAGAGACTCAAACTTCAATTGATAAACAATGCAAGTCATTGGGACTTTTCTAGCATACAGAATTAATCAGCTGCGGAAAATATTGTGCATCGCTAGCTTTAATCAATAGTTTTTTATTCATTAATGAGGTATAAAGACATTATTTTGGGTCTGTGAAATTATTTCCACTCTGGTGAGTTCAAATCCATGCATCCGCATCTGTCTGTCAATCTGTTCTTATTCCATCCTCTTTTTTTTCCCTTCCACAAGCCCTTTTAATTTCTTGCTCTGTCTGACAGTCTGAATTTCCTTCAGATATCTGTTAAAATAAAAAAGAATAAACACATCTAGGGTTTTATTTTCCCATCCTAAACAAACATTATATGTATTTCCAATTTGGATTTGCCTCCTATATTCCCTTTAACTATGCCTTCCTGATTGTTTCAGATGGAAATGATGAGCTACTTCCCGAGCATCTCAGTCTATCACATGAGAAATTGCTACAACATGCACTTCCTTTTTAGTATATTGCAGGAACAGATAGAGCATTTCAGAAGATTAGAATGAGATTAATGACAACAAAATGAATACGAGCTGGTACAGAAGTCAGCTTGAGGGACCCTGAAGGATTAATGTGAAAATGCTCTTTGTCTGCAAAGGTTTCTTGGAGATTAGGAAAAAAAATCTAATTTTTCAGATCATCTTTCATGATATTTGACAGTAATCAGATGCAGCAGGATTGAAGGAAGGAAGCCGTGGGGTGGGGGGAGTATAGTCAAAATGACATTATCATGTTCATTGACTTCATTTCAACAAATAGACAGAAACAGGAAGTTTTACTGCTTGAATCATGTGGGGCCCACTTCATGTGGACACTGATGACAAGTAAATGGACACATTAATTGTTAAGATGCTCTCATCGTGTACAGTGATATATTTCCTTTTTGACTGGGTTATATGGGGCAGCTGAAACTAAAATGTTTTACAGTTGCTCAGCATAAAACTATGTGACATTTGTCTTTAATTATCCATAACTTAAGTTCATTATATGATTTCATGAGATTGCATGAGACCAAATCTTGTCATAGGAATGCCACATAGCTACCGGTTTTTCAAACCTACAAGCCATTTTATCAATAGTTCATTTAAGGTTGCATGAGATTACTCACGCATATTCTCACCCTCATGAGAATTCAAAAGGAGAGTTTATGCTGGATGTGTAAAATGGGGAGAGAGGCTTCCCTGTACTGAATATGAGGTTTGTGATGGCTTCTAGTCATCAGCATGGTTCAAGAATTTCATCGATAGAATTTTCTGTCTGCTAAAGGACATATTCCAAATATAAGAGAAAGAAAAGCCTAGTTTTCTGTCATCATAACTGGGCTGATCACAGCTGGCAGGAATTTTAGACACAGGGAAGTGACTGAATCACTTGCTTTAATGGGTTGAGTAAATGCAGCGGTCGACGCCGCGTGCTCGGTCGATTGACTCCCCCTTGGGATATTTTTTGGACTTGTGTAAAGGCTGATGGAGACAGCCCCCCCACCCCCACACCCCACACCTAGTAGGGTAGCTTGTTTTTGTTTACATTCAATTTCTTGGATGTCTGTGGAACACCCAGAGGGGGAGAAATTGGTCCCAACCTTGTTTTTGTTTTTCACTTTGTCCACGGTGTGGTTTCTGGTTTAAAGGGGCCACATTGTACCACTCTTAGAGAAAGAATACGAAATTCAGAGACAATAACAAATAACAGTGCTTTTAGTGGCAGATCACGGCAATAAGCCTGAGATGTCACTTCACACGTACTTTTTAAAACCTCCACCATCTCATAATTTTTTGCTGTTTTTTTTATGTTTTATGTCTAAACAAATGAGACTTATTGATTTAGAATCACTTATTTAGGACCACACGGTCACCTATATGCCGCCTGTCGCCTAATCTAAACATATTTACATGTATTTTTCAGACAAATTCACAATTTAAGTCACTGTCTGTGCACCAGATTCAGGTGTACTTGGATGCCCTAAGTGGCAAAAAGACACAGCGTCGTGACATCAGACTTAAAGAATCAGGGATTATATGGAATTGGATCACAGTTATCATTGGATCACACGGTATGTCTACCAGGATGAGGATTGTGCTCCATTTAGATTGTCAGGTTGTACTCGAAACCACAGAAGTGCTCCTGCTGCAGGGACTGACAATCATGTGCCACTCAAAATATCTTGCTTAAGGAGAGGGACATGTTACAAAAAGCCATTTAAAACATCTGCAGTAGAGCAGGTAGCCTCATTTTCAGGATGCCATCATCATCTCTGCCGCCAGTAACCGAAACTGATAACGGTGATCCAATTCCATATAATCCCTGATTCTTTAATCTCGCAGTCACGTGATGTACATGTAGGAGAGGAAATTAGGCATGAGTGATTGGTATAAAAACATCAAATCATCTCGCAGACTGTGAACAGATAGGAAACAACTGCCACATAATTTGTCGTACTGATGACAGCTTTGACGGGACTGCTGCTATTCTGACTCTTTTCTGCTATTTGTCTGAACTTATATCAACCCTCAATTCTTCATGTTTGACCGAGTTGCAACCCTGAAAGGGTCCTTTTGTAACTGAAGCCCTTCCCTTGTCTTGAGGGTATTTTGGTCCCTTTAATCATATAAATACAACTTTAGAAACCGTGTTGTAATCCTGCTTGCAAAGTGTATGTTGAATGTTGTGTTTCGATTTCTAAGATGGCCTTAAGGCCATTATTGTCTCTGTGCAACGCGCTGAATGGTAATCAAATGTGCCACTTATGCTTCACTGACTCGTTTCCTTCACAAATTTGGAGCTCAGCTGAATACATTTTTCTGTGCAGAAGGGCTGTATTGTATCCAGTATGGCCTCATTACGAGGGCAGAAGGGCTTCTTCGGGTGGGGGAGGGCAGAGGCCGCGATGGGGGGCTGGGGTGGGGGGTGCGGGGCGAAGCACCCCACGAAGACATTGTGCTTAACATCACTAAATACCTCCAACGCCACATTGTCCTTCCCATTCCACAATTAGTGCGCCTCCTCGCACAAAGCACCAATTTCACACAGAGAGGTTTATTTTAAGGAAAATCCAGGCCTGCGCGGGCAGGAAGCTCTCTGAAAATCTAATGAAGGACACAACAGTCATGCAGAGTTGTTAGTCACCAAGAAACATTAGTTAACAAAGCCTCTCTTCAGTGTATCTCTGTGATGACTGCAGAGGGCTTGATGAGCCGGGGGTTTTCGCCATAGTGCTGGGACTGTACAGTAGGCTGCCTGTGCTGGATGGTATCCAGCCAACGTGCCTTTTTTGCCCTGCCCTGCCAGGCCTCCTCAGCCTGTGGATCTTCGTGCAGAGGAACGCCTCTTTGGTGGCTGTGACAGGGAGAATTAGGCAAGAGATGCGGGTTCACTTGCCCTGCGTAGGGGCTTATCTTGGGCTAAGCTGAGGGACTAATAGCAAAGCCTGCCTTCGCTCCAGCCGGTCTGAGGGCACAGGGAGCCATCTGTCCATTCTGAGGATAACTGACAACAAAGGAAGCAAACACTGAACACGGACCACAAACTAAAAGGCCATTCATTTGGAAGACACCAGAACCAAAGCGCAGGAAGAATTTTGTACACAAGGTCAGTGCTTTGTACTCATCTTCTGTCTATGTTATAGGCCTCTCGATCAGCTACAACACCCAGAATCTGGCTGTACACAGATCAGTTTTTGCTTTTAAAATGGTTCGGAACTACAGTTATGTCGGGCTGTGGAAGGAAACTTAAAGCTGCTGGTTCTTTACTTCAAGTGGAAGCTAAACAACGCAAGGCTTTGTTTTAATGCACTACCCCTGACTCCTATTAGGTTATATAATTCGAGCTGGTTGTTTTTCTGATTATGGCTCAGTTTTAAATGTATCTTTTTTTAAAACTTCTTTTTAGAAGTCTTTCTGCCTTGCAAAGTTCAGGCTAGAATTAATTAACATATGAAACCTGCCATGTAATGAATATCCAACATAGTAACCTTTGTGTTAAAGGAGAAGTGCTGCGCGGTATCGCTAATTGGCTGCTATGTGGTGTCTCACAGACAGCTAAAAATAGTCCGAAACTATTTACAATTATCCAGAATTGATCACACTGGCTGTATTGTTGGGAATAATTCATGGAGTTGTGTTAGAATTGTTTCTTAGAAGCGTTTGGCTTGGCTTATTGCTTGGCTTTTGTAAACCATTTTTGCTAAGGATCGGTCCAAATGTTCAAACAAACTTATCTATACCATTTCAAATTTGAAATGTTGCACGCCTTCTAGTTTGAAGCATACTTTAAAAACATTGTCAAATACAATCCCTCAAGTAATCCACTTAGACATTGTTCCCCGTTTCCCTCCAGGATTAAGGCGGCGTTTTTTTCCTCTCCGCTTTTTTTCCGTTATCGTCTGAGGCAGACCTCTGTCTGTCTGCGCTCAGGGAGCAGAGTTCCTCTGGATGATATGTTTTATCACGTCGACTCTGTGGGTGCTGTTGTGCTCCAGAGTTTTGTTCAGAAGTCTTGTGCGCTGACTCGCTGGAGGTGACAGAAATAGGTCAAAAGGGTCTTAGCATTAACCAAACAAATCCAGGCCTGTAGGATTAGCGCGAGATGTTGCTGTTTATTTGATGTATTCATTGTAACTTCACAGTGATACACAAAGCGGAGTGTGCTTTCGCTCTAGCTGTTGTTCAGAGAAAAACACCCTTTGCTTATCTATGATATCGTCTGAACTAAGTCTTCAAGCCCAGTCAGACATTATGAACACTGGCGTGTGCCAAAGCAAGAATATATGACAACCATGTTGTATTTGCTCTTCTATGCTCGGTTTTATCAGCGTCAACTGACACCGATTCATTACAAGTAAGCGACTTGTGTCATTGGCGGTCTCTGTGAGCGAGGCGTTCATTTTTTGGTCTTTGTTTTTTAGGAGTGGAGTGGAAGCACAGAGTTCTGTGTTCACTGGTTTGTTTAAGTATCAAGGGGATCCGTGGGAAGATCAAAGATTGTGTTATAATATGATAGCGTGGGGTAATGTGGTTTTATTTTTCTGTTTCAAACAGCCGTAAGTTTGTATTCAAGCAAGCTTAGCTAAACTGAGCACAAAAAATAGATATATGGGGAGTTAGAAAACTCGGTTCTTTCAAGGGGTCAAAAGATCCTGAGATGATTGCAGCAACACTTGTAAAGTGAGCAGGTACATTTTGGTTTGGAAGACTGCTCACTGGGCTTCATGAGAAAAGTGTTTCTCAGTTACTGCTGTAGAATCTCAAAGCTGGTGGAAATACTTATGTTTTGCAATATTCAGTTTGACATGGTACAGGACAGTTTGAAACTATCGAGGCAACCCTCATTTAGTCGTATGTTGTCACCTGAGCAATCAATAGATGCGCTGTTTAATTGGCGCATAAGCAAACATTAATGGAAATACTGTATATAAGGCAGATGCACGCATTGTGTATACCCATTTAATCCAATTCAAGGTAAAAAAAATAGAGCCACTGAAATGAGCTATTTAACATTGTTAGAGGAAATAAAAGTAGCTAGAGAGAACCCATGCAAACACAGGGAGAATATACAATTCCTTACAGAAAGTCACCAGGAAAGAAACCTGGAACCCCCTTGCTGTAAGGTGACCATGTCAAAGGGAGATTCAGAGAGTTTCAATTTCTAGTGGAATATTTAGCCTTTGGTGTTGCCAGTTTTACTCATCAACATGGTCTTCAGTACCTTTTTCTTGACTTTCCCATGCTTCTCGAAGGACATTCTAAGGATCCTTAGGCTGCTTTGTGGCCTTTTGTTCTGTCTGAAGATGACCTCACACTGCTGTAACAATGTTGAAGTCCAAGCTTTGTCTCCCTTCCCTTCGGTATAGTTCCAGTTAGGTTCAGGGATAAGAGCGGTTGCCTACCAATGGGCTGGTCAGTGGTTTGACCCCAGGCTGCATGTCAAGATGTCTTTGGCCTACATGATGAACCCCCAGTAGCCTGAAATGCAAGCTTTAAAGCACAGTGGGGCGCAATCTTCTGTGTGCTGTCTGAGCTGGTCCCAAGCCCAGATAAATGTGAGGGTTGTGTCAGGAAGGGGATCCTGTATAAAAACTCCTGCTAAATGAGAGGCATTATGGTGATCCCTGATGAGAAAAGGCAAGGACAAAATCTAGTTCTGATTCTGTGACTGCTGATTGCATTCTTATTGGTATACTTGTGTAGCATATGCTCAACTGAGGTAGTTTTTAAAATGTGCTGCAGAAATAAACTGCTCCGGTCTCGTAGCGGGGTGCTTTATTTTTTTAGCAATTTTTCTCAAGGACATCCTTGCAGATGCTGATCACCTGCTGATGCCGTCAGAGTCTGTTCACCTTCGTCACTTTTGTTTTTTTAGAGCTTCCACTTATTTTTTTTCTCTTGATCTTTTGACTCAAGTCTTAGAGATACACTGCATACCACACAGAGATGTGCCAAGTCTTCAACAAACAACCGGTTTGGAATCACCTTGTCGATGTGAAAAATCTGTTCTAAATCAATCAAACTGTTATGTTCTTTTTTTTGTGATGCAGCTGAAGAAATGGGAATTAATTATACACTTATGTAACAGGCGGCTCGTAAAAGAACGCATAAGAATATGATGGAAAACACAAGAGACGCAGAGACAGTGCTTGGTTGTTGGTTGTGGACGGACTTAAGAATTATGCAAAGAACTCTTGGTGAACATGCTGGATGTGTTTCGGTCACTCTCTGAACAACAGGGCATACCCTTCTTTTGCTCATTTGCTTTTAGCTTCTCCTCTTTAATTGCACACTCATCAGAAATTGGTTCAAATGTATCATGGGGAGCTGATCAGATGCAGATTACAGTAGCTCAAGAAAATTCACAGTTTCTTTAAAATTTCATCAGGCATCTTGAAAGCTTAGTGGAGGATTGACATAAACTCTGGATTAACAGGCAATGTATGCTTGCCAGTACTACTCCACCCTGTCCCCTTCTGTTCCTGCCAAGTTCTAAGCAATAAAATCCACAGTTTGCGTTCAGGTTTTAAGCTAACATTCACATGTGATCACTCACGTTTCTCTTTTTAGTTGTCATTACTTAAAATTCTTTATCTATACTTGCCCTGAAAAGTAAACTTTTTATAAAGACAACTCCTCAGTACAGTACTACTCTGATCCAATAAACATTGTGACCTCAGTCCTTTATAGTGTTCTACTCAATTCTCTGCCTGTTATGGTCCAATAAACTGTCTGTCCAGCACCGCATCGACACATTCTTTATTCGTTCTGCAAATACAAAGAATCGGACACGCAGCCACTACAGAGGCGACACTGTGTGGCGTCTCTGCTATCAAGAGACCAGTCACACACACATCACTTGATCCTCGGGCCTTCGCAGCACAAGCGGCTTTCTTTGTGTCTGGCCTTATCCAGGAGAGTCACACAACTTGTGTTAAGCTGGAACCAAAGATGCAGTCCCATGTGAAGATTCTAACCACCGATAGCCTTATCATCACCCTCTCACAAATACACGATCAGAAGACAAACAACAATGGTCTACCCTTCCTCAGAGAGTGCCAGTCCCCTGATAAGTTCTTAAAAGAGGTGTTTGTATCCCTTTAGCAGTACGAAAATTGTCCGCTTAAAAGTTTGGGAAACGTTCCGCTTAGGTTGCTATGACTGTTTTTTAAGATAATGACCCAAAGCAGTTCAACAAGTTGGATGATGAGGCTGACATTTGGACCATTTTGCAGCTCTTTTCCAGCCGCCTTGTTGTCAAGAATGGATAATGGTGCATTCCATAATCCCCCGCAACTCCTGCTATGTGACTGGACAACAGGGCAGTTAGTGTAAAGGACTGTGTTCTCAAGACTTGATGGAAAAATTAGTCAAAGAAAAAAAAAAATTAAAAAGGAGAGAAAATAAAGAAACAAAACGTAAACCATCATACTTTGTTACTTGAGGAAAGCCTCACACACCCAAGCAGAGAATGCAGTTAAACTTTATAGTAGACATATGTATTTGGATCTGGCTGATTACCTCCTCAATTTTACACCTCATTTCCCGAACATCCTGAAACACCAAACTACCTGCCACACACAGATAATGTATTTCTCATTGCAGGGTGTTTACGCCGAAGCCTTCAAGACACAGAGGATGTCCGACAAGGAGGAAATGCCTTCAGATGGGAGTTTAAATGTGACACTGACGCTGAGGCTGCTGATGCACGGAAAGGTAATCAACAAATGTGTAAACAGTCGGAAAGAAGCATTGTGTTTTTGCAGTAATAACGCCTGATGTAATAGCAAGTATTTGCAGTTCAAATGAGTCATTTCTGCTCCAAAAGTGCTAATATGTCTTTGGTCTCTTGGTGAAATGCTTCTTTTTCTTGTCGTTCACAGGAAGTCGGCAGCATAATTGGGAAGGTAGATTTAATTCACTCTCCCTAAACCCGTATCAGATTTTAGATTGTTTTGTGATTGTTTCCGCGCATTGTCCTTAAATCTAATCAGGCTCCTTTTTTCTTTTTCCCCTGAACATGTTTTCAGAAAGGAGAAACGGTAAAGAAAATGAGGGAGGAGGTGAGCATTTGATTTTTACATCAAAACAAAAAGTTTCATGAATTAAGGCAGAGCAGTTGCAAGAAATCAAAGCTGTGATAACAGTTTGCCTGTTTTTTTTTTAGAGTGGAGCTCGCATCAACATATCAGAAGGATCATCTCCTGAGAGAATAGTCACCATCACAGGGCCCACCGAGGGAATCTTCAGAGCCTTCTCCATGATTGCAGAGAGGTTTGAGGAGGTACAGCAAAAACCGACACGCCACAGCGTCGCCCACAACTTACATCCTCGAGTATCACCGAATTCTGTTGCTGTTGGAGAAGAATTATAAGGATCTGTCTGTCTGGGAGACAGCAAACGCACGCCGAGCAGAGCAACCCAAACAGAGTTGTCAAATAAAGTTGACGTTCCATGCGCCTGCCAATGTAGAATCGGTAATGTATTTTTGAATTTCTCCCTCAGGACATTACAGCAGCAATGATAAACAGCAACGTGACAAGCAAGCCACCTGTGACACTTCGTCTGGTTTTCCCGGGGAGCCAGTGTGGCTCACTGATTGGCAAAGGAGGCTCAAAGATCAAAGAGATCAGAGAGGTAGGAGTCTCATTTGTGTATCCTCTCCCATCTTGAAGCTGTTCTTCAGCACCCTAACAGGAACAGTATGTCTCCTCCCAGGTTCTCCGTCACCTTGAGTGTCAAAAACTCCAGTCAAACATTCTGTATTTTTCTTTTCTATTTGGGTTGTTTTTTCTGTTGTTGTCACGACTCATAAAAATCCTACTTATCTTGCCTTTAAAGAATCATATAGTTGGAAAACTCTTTCTGATTGGACAATATTTTCTATGTTTGCCTCTTCGAATATTGGAACGCACGTTGCCATGTGGCTTGCAGCTGCTCAGTGCATGTCAAAATGTGTTCTGGGTAATTTGTGGGTGCTTCACATGGCATTCAGACTAGTTGACGGTGGGCTCTTTCCAGCAATAAATGGCCCCTTGTTCTTCTGTTGTCTGGTGTTAAAAAGACCACAGGCGCTCAGGTTCAGGTGGCGGGCGACATGCTGCCGGACTCCACAGAGAGGGCTGTCACGATCTCCGGCACTCCACAGGCCATCACTCAGTGTGTGAGACACATCTGCTCGGTAATGCTGGAGGTGAGCACTGTCAGCCAGCAGACCATCGTCACATTCAACAGCTCTATTTAGGTGGCAAGTATGTCATGTGCATTTAGGATGAGAGGGAATGTGTTTGGTGGCACATCCGGGGTGTCTCCCAGGCCGAAGCAGTGCTGCGCGGTTACGGTTTTGTATCTGACTCAAATGATAGATTTAATTAAATAGCATATTGCATTTATCATTTTGAATGCAGCCAAAACAGACACAGAAAGAGAAGCACCTAGGCTATTGTCAGATTTTCATTCCTGCTGTGCTCTCACGGGTATTTTATCCTTTGCTTTCACTAAGAGCTAAGCTTCGGTTTGAGCCCGATGAATTGCAGTGTGGTCTAACAACACTGTCATTGCAATTAGAGCGTTTGTCTCCAAATAGAGGAACAAACGAAAAAACAGTGGTGTCACCACCAATAATTAGAACATGGGGAAATTAGAAGGCTGCCGTTTTGTGCGGATCAGCGTCCATGAAACACAACAGAAAGACCCATCCAATGGTTAGCAAAATGTGTGAGCCTTCAGCATCTTTTCCAATTCCAATGCTTTGCAATTGAAATCTCATGAATAAAAGCGAAGCAGGAAAGGACTGTGGAAATCATCTTGTCAAACTGTAGGAAGGGTTAAGGGGACTGATACCATGCACATTTCCTTCACATCTCAGAGGGGTATTTGTCCCAATACGTAATGGAAAATGTGTCCAAGAGGCCATACATAAAAATGGGAAGACATCTAACATCAATGTCACAGTGTTGAAAGGCTGGATGTGCGCATAGTGATGCTGAAGCTCTCAAAGTCTAAACATTGATTTGGTCAGGGTCTTGGAATAGAAATGTGGATATCGCTCTCCATCTTTAGTCTGTTTGGGTGTTTTTCTGAATGAGGATAAATCATTGGGTGTCCACTGTTGATGCAATCAGTCCAAAGGATTTAGGCTGAGTGTGGTTAGTTACCCTTTACTACATGAATACATGTCTAAATGTGTTGTGGTGAAGTTTTAAAAGGAAAAAAAGAATAGCTTTTTTTGCAGTGTGACATAGGCCGCATATCAGTATTCTAAAAAAGAAAATCTGATAGAATTAAGTTAGCTATTGTGAAATTTCTTTGACTTACTATGACATTTTGCACTGTGGAACTCTGTTAAAAGATTGGATCACACCCAGCTTTTCAATACTATCACATGATGAGAAAAGGCACAAATTTCTCCCAAACGATGCTCATGTTTCATACGTTGATGCTAGCAGATGCCATCCATAATTATTCATGAATCTGTGACCTCTAGTGATCAGGAGAGCAACTGCATGTTCGGAATTTAAATACCACAGCTTCTATAAAGGATTTATTCTCATTGTAAAAAGAAAGCATTTCAGCATTAAACATCTTTATTTAGTTATCCAAAACCAACCACTTTATTTTACAAACTTAACCAGAAAGGGCTGAGTTTTTTTTTTAAAACGACTGTGTCATGTTCATGTTTGAATGTTGCTCAGAGGTGAAAACACATTCGTTGGATAAAAGTTGATGTGCTTGCGTGGGCAGTTGTTGATGTCTGTGTGGCACCTGGATCAGGCGAAGGTTGTAGCATGGAACCGAGTATAGAAATCCCTTGAGCATTACTTTAACATTAATGTTTCACTACAATGTCACAACGGCACCATCTCAAGGCTCCCAGTCCTCACCTTGGCTCCCAATCTCTCCTTGGTTCAGGGTTTCAAACAGCTTTCGCAGCACATGGGATGATTTAGACACGAAAAAATAGGGCATAAAATGCACCGTTGCCACTGAGAGCTCTTTTCTCCGCCGCATCTGTGAATAATCGCTTTCTCCCTTTTGTGATTTACATAATGGTGGCTTTATAGTCTCCACCAAAAGGAGCAACCATTCCCTACCGTCCCAAGGTCCTACCTGCTGGAGCCCATGCAATGATGGCACCCCAACACCCAGCACAAGTAAGTAATCATGTAGGGGGGACGGGGTCAAGCTGGGATTCTGACCTATTAAAATAAATAAAATGTATTGTTACTGAGTCACTCTGATCCGTAAGCATATTTATACCAGAGGATGGACACAGCAATCCATGGCACAAACATCTACATGTTTAATGCTGTTAGCAGAATGCTGATGATCATGCTAAACACACAGCCAAAGATTAATGGGGCAGAGATGTGAAGAACTGACATTTACTTGAATAATTGCCCCGCAGTGTGAAACCTGTCGCCTGTAAAGTTCATGTTTTCCATGGGCCCGCGAAGCTGCTGTCCTGAATTTGGCACCGCCCGCTCTGACCTATCAGACATCTGTTGATGTTATTGGATTTCCAGCCACAGTCGAGAGGGAAAAAGCGAACGAGTGACATTTGGATGAAATTCCAGCAGATCCATATGCATTAGAGCTTTGGAAAAGTGGAGGGGAATGGATTTTTATTGCCCTGCTTTTACTCGTCATTCTCGGTGACAATTTTGCATCAAAAGTGACATGTCCCAACATGTCTGCGCAGCCCAGTCACATCCCCATCTCGTCTCCTGTTATTTCCAGGCCTTTGCAATTCCCGGGCAGTACGCGTTCGCACATCAAGATGTAAGTATGCTCATCTGAGTGACTGACAACCGCCCTAATGATCTACTCCCACCCACTCCTTCCAAGCCACCAACAAGCCCTCTTTTTGTGCCCCGTTCTTTAAAAAGGAAACTTCCGTAACCCGACCTGTCGACATCACTAACACTAACCCTCAGTAGCAGCATGCGTTGACTTAAATGGAAATGATCTAAAGAGTTTATGATCAGCCGTAGTCGTGTAGCCAGGGATGTGATTGTATTTTCTGATGACTTCTACTCGAAGCCAGCATGCTCTCTAAGTGATTTGAATCTCTTTACACTGACTCCATCTGTGATGTTTGTGAACTTCAGATTGGCTCTTTATTGTAGCTGTCAGCTCCTCTGAAATAATCCAGTTTGATTGGTTAGCTCTAACTTCCTTCCTACCCTGCAGTTGACCAAGCTTCACCAGTTGGCTATGCAGCATATCCCCCTCCCTTCCCTTGGGCAGAGCAACCCTACCTTCCCTGGTACGTACCCACGGCTCCCTGGGGAAGTCCATCTCTCCCTCTGTCTTCACTCCTCTTCGAATCACACCATCATTACACTGCTGTCACTTCAGCGAGGATCGAGGATGACTCCATTCTCTCAGAGTTTACAGACGCAGGTTTTTCTTTCCTTTTAGTAGATGGTGGCTTTCGAGTGATAAGCATATAACAAATGGCCTGTCATGTTTTGTGGCTGCTTTTGCATCTATTTGCACACAAAACTAAGATGGAAAACAAAACGAAAACATCAAACAAAAAAAAAACATGGAAGAAATTTTAAAAAAAAAAAAAAAAAAAAAGCCACCAAGCTATTTCATTATCGTCAAGAAATATCTGAAGAAACTGAAATATTTATATAAGTCCATTTGTGACAACAGAGAAACAGCAGGCTCATCCGAGATGGAAATGTGAAAAATGTTACAAAATATTTACGGCTAAGTAAATATTTAACCATTTCTCACTATTTCTCATTTCAGCAGCTCCACTTGCCCAAATGATCCCCTCCAGAGAACAAATCCTAATCTCTTGACCCTGTCCTCCAACCTTTGCAACATTTCCCCTATACATCTAACATCATCTCGGCCAGACCTCATCCCTGACCTCAACCATCCCACATACTCATATACTCTGCCATAACTAACTGAAGACAACACGCTACCGAATTTCTGCTGTTTAGGCAGCTTTGGTGTGTTAGCTGTGCATTTTTCTAAATGTTGATAAAACCTGTTTATAATCTATGTGTTTATTGAACAGATACAGCTTTTTTTTCTATATGTGGAGACAGTATTGTTTGTCATTTCATGCTCTTGACTTAACAATGTAACGGTGACAAACTAGTTAAAGTAGGGCAACGTGTAATGCTATGAAAGTGGGAGCCATTAGCACATTCCAGTTGTTTTATTCCTTGTCCTAATTTGCAGGAATGGATGCTTCTGCCCCCACAAGTACACAAGAGCTGGCAATACCTAATGATGTAAGTGCCACATTGTTTTGCTCATCCACCAAAACCTGCAACCTTTCGCTTTCTGACTTCATTAAGCATATCTGGGAGGACAACTATTTAATGAGAATTTTTTGGGGGGGACACACTCTTTAGCTGCGGAAGGTAATTCATCCTTTTTCTTTGCTGACAAAGATAACTGCACAGAGTCACAGCACACAATTGTAGCACGAGTGTTAGCAGAATTGTTGAATTTTAATGCATTCACGGAGACAATGAACCATCAGTAGAGCAATGCTTTAAGGGTCTAAAACCATTAGCTCTGCTTGTTGTGGCGGGAAAGCGGGTTACTTATGGAGCGTGTTCCATATATTTTCAGTTCTAAGTTTTACACCTTAATTTAAGAGGTATATTTTTTTCGGGGAGACCGGCTTATTCACTTTCTTGCTGAGACGTGAGATGAGTGAGACTGGCACCAATCCCATGGAAGGGACAGAGGCAGACAGTAAAAAGAGGAGGAAAATCAACGAGCTCTGTGTGCGACTGCAGAGTGTTTGTAATGCAATGAAAAAGCCATACCTATCAGTTGGTCCTGGTCTCGTCTCGGTCCTTCAAATTAGGTGACTCAAACATGATATGAGCAACAACTGACATGTTTACCATGTCATAACTAATACAAATTAACCCTATATGCAATACATTTAATTATGTGGAAATCAACCGGAGCGATCACCTCTGCAAAAGCCGTCTGCTGCTTTTGAAAGATAGCAGCGGTAATCTTGGAGAAGCAGTTGTTGAAGCATGTTCATTACCATGCAAATGCTGCATATCAACGCAAACACCTCATACCGACTGTCAAGCACAGCGGTGGAGGGCTAATTATTTGGGCTGGTTCTGTTGTCCTATATTGTAGGTTTAGATGCAAGGCCATCCATTTTTGCAGCTGAAGCTAGGCTGAAATTGGATGGTCTCGCTGAAAAACTATTCCAGGCACGGCAGCAAATCTACAAGAAAATGTAATGAAAAGAAAAGAATAAAGTCTTTTTTAACCGCCTAGTTAAAAATGACTAAAAATACTGTACGGAGACCTGTAGAGAGCTGCACAAAAACAAACCTCAAGCCTGCAAACCTCAGTGAACTCAGCTGGATCAAAGGTCCTCCACAGTGATGTGAAAGACTGATAACGCCATACTGGAAAAAAAAACAAAAAACAAAAAAAGTAATTCTGCAAGCTATTGATTGATGGGGTTTGTCTTAATTTTTGTCAAACAGCCTCATAGTTTTGTAGGTGATCTTAGAGGGGATACATTCTCTCTTTTTCACATGACTGCAGCCCTGTTTAATCAATGTGGAATCAATATACGAGCTGCAGGTTGTATTATTGGGGGGGGGGGGTGGCATGTTGTGTCGGGCTATTTTTGTGGGCAGTAGCAGGGCCTTCGTGGACTTATGCTGTTTCCAGGCAACCACACAAGGAACTAGAAAGCCACAGTGCCCAGCCACGAGTCGAGCACGTAACCTTTGCTAAAACTCTAAATTGTCAGTCAACACCACGTGCAGAGTAGGCAAGCAAGATTTGACATGTTAATTACGGAGCTTTGGAAGTGCTTGCATTGTACAGGCAGCTGGGGGCTGTTTCCTCTGTTTTCGGTCCATCATATTTGCCACGGAGATGAAAGAGTGGAATTAATCGCTTCAACTTTCAGCAAGAAACTGAGTAAACAGACCCTCGAAAACTGTTGGCGGTGCCTTGCATTGAAAGTATCTGTAGGGATACGATATCACTGGAGGACTGTGGCTCTCCATTCGGTTGGTACGTTTCAGGAGAGCACGGAAACACGCCATGTTGGGGGTATTTACATGTTTCTGATCTCCCCCTTCCCAGTTTATTGGCTGCATAATTGGGAGACAGGGCAGCAAGATCAATGAGATCCGCCAGGTCTCTGGAGCTCACATCAAAATTGCCAGCGCCACTGATGGCTCAGCCATGCGCCAAGTCACGATCACAGGCTCGCCGGCCAGCATCAGCGTGGCTCAGTACCTCATCAACGCCAGGTAAGACAACACACAGGGGCGGTGGTGTCCGGAGGTGGCTCACACACAGCAGCACGATAAGGCAGCCGAGCAGCATGCGTTTGCATGAGGGAGATTTGTTGTGTTCAGGGTGAGGCTGGATTAGTTCCAGCTCATTGCTCCGTTCTCTCGATTGCATTAAAATCCTTAATGTCTCTGCTTTTTTTTTTTTTCTTAACACATTCCTTCTTTGATTCTGATTTTTTTTTTCTGCTCTCTCACCTCCCCTTCTCCTTTGTCTCACCCAACCCCCCCTTCCCCCCCCACCCTCCATTTTTTTTCTTCATTTTTTTTTTACCCACTGTCTTCTCTTAACCCCATCACCATCATCTCAACCTCCCGGCCCGCAGCTTAGAGATGGCTAAATACACCATGCAGGCCGCTTCCTCTGCGACCGGTGTTGACCTCAACATGAGCCTCTCTCAGTCTGCCCCCACTGCCTCCACCGCTGCTTCTTCCATGGCCGTCCTGGCGGCCGCCACCTCAGCCCCCACCATTAACGTCCACTCTCCCTCCACCTTCTCAGCCATTCAAAACCCGCACTATGCCGTCCCCGTTTCCAGCCTGCTTGGCATGAAAACTCTCCCTGTCCTGACTGTCCACCCGGCAGCCGCTTCCGGCCTAACACAGGGCTTGTCCCCTTACGCCGCGAAAATGTCCGCCGCCGGAGTTAAAAAATCTGAGCGGCAGAAGTTTGCTCCCTATTGATGCCAGCTTAGTCCAGTCTGTGTAGCTGACAGATAAGGTGTTATTAAAAGATGGCAGATAAGTTAATATGAACATATAGGCTTGGGAATGGCTTACACCAGTGTGTAGGTTTCTCAGCGTGCCACGTCTTTTCCATAAGCCAGAGGGATATTAAACGGACACTGAAATGGAGATAGTATTAAAACATGTCTTCAGTAATTAAAAGAGGCTGAAGAAGTGCATATTGACTCAGTATTATCACATGAACATGCATAACAATTAACGAGGGGAACTCAGGCTTGTATTAATATCCAGGGAGAATATATTTTTCAAATGAATTCGTGTTCCAGAGCTTTATAACACACTTACTCCAGTAGATCCACGGTTCATATTTTGACTTAGTTTTCTATCTGTGTAAGTTTTTTTTTCCTATTACTTTTTTTTTCTTTTTAGAAAATGCAAACTAGTATTATGAGGTGTGGTGCTTTGTCGGCAGCAGGCTGTGAAAAATGTTTGTCATGTACAATAGAAGTCAGTGTGTGAATTAATTTTTTGGAAAGGACTGCTCCAGTCTTCTGTCATGTGTCCTCCTTTTTCTTTCACTATAGGCTCTCATCAGTGTTAACTGGCTTGGGTGTTCTGTAGTAGCGTTGCACTGTTGCAGCTCTGATGGGATTATCTTAAAGCCACAATGGATTCTGGTGGATTTCACTCTACCCAGTAATCCTGTAGAGCAGGACCGGCCTAACTCAATTTACTGGTTCTGTACATGAGCTTGCTTCCTTGTTTATTCACCAGCCTAAACAAGTGGAGCACTTCAACTTTCAGCATCTGAAATGAGCACCGATCAGTTTATTTTTGCGGAATGTTTTATTCATGTGTTTCTGATGTATGTTTACCCCACCCCCAAACAATGCAAATTTTTAATATTTGCAAGTGAAGTGACTGAAATAAATTGAACTTTTTATGAACGTGTGAAGGTTGTCTTGTTCTTATTTCAATAATTGACCAAGATCCTGTCTCTTTTCATTCATTTCTGTGACTTTTAACAACAAAGCCTTGTTTAAAAGGCTCTTACCAATCAGGCCCCTGTTCAAAAGCAGGACACAGGAGCCAAGTTTTAAAGGCATGAGGCCAGATTTACTTACCAGCAGGATTAGGATAAAAAGGAGAATCCCCCCCTCGCAGTTTTGCGCCTTTCTGTGTGGTTTCCGTCCAAGTTGATTAACTTAGACATCTTTGTTTTAAACAAAGGAAACTGCCAAAAAGGATGGAACGATTAGCAAATAAGCCAAAACCCATAATCAACTGTAAATGGCCTAAAGACATGAAACCTTGATAGCTAAAGCAAGAGCCTGAAGTAATTAAAACTGACTCAGGAAAAATTCTGCATGGTGGTCCTCAGATGAGCCTAATATAGTTTTATTCATTGTTGTCAATAGGAGAGCGACTTATTAATTAAAAAACGCTACTCAGTGGACATCTTGCCAGGGAAGGTGCCATTTATTCAAGCAAGCTAATGAAAAACCACATTCTGCACGGAAGGTGGAGCCTTTGGTTGTTCAACTGTGACTGTTGTGTCACTGTGTGTGTCACACACATGTGTATGTTTCAAGGTGGGCATCCAAGATCACCATCAGCAGTTCAGTTTGCAACAGAATGTAAATAAAGGGCCCTATCTTTCTCAATTTTCCCTTCTGTTTGCAGGTTATTATGATATCACAGTAATACTGGGCCCAGCAGCATTGTAATTACTTCACAGTACGTCTGAGAGAACATTTCTGTTGAAAGTCTCCTAAGGTTTCTGAAGCGTTCAAGAGGTTTCAGTCTCTGCCAGAGATTCAGTCAAACGAAGCAAAAAGCAATCTGAAGTGCTGGCAAAATGTTAAAATAGGAAAAGTACAACACCGGAAAGGTAATGCACTAAGCACAGAAACAATCTTGCGGATGTGTTATTGGAGCTATGCTGCAGGAGCAGAGCGGCGGACTGGAGTAAGGGGAGCAGAGGGGAGAGCAGAGTGAATGAAATGGATCAAACACAATCAGAAAGACAAGTCTGTGAAATGCGAACTGAGCCTATTTTGTTCAGTGTAAAAACCCTACAAAAACTCTCAGTACTGATTACCTTTGTGGATGGAGATATTGTGTAATCTTTGTCAATTCTGCAAATTCCATTATGCACATCTGATTGGAAAACTCATGTTTCAGTTGTGTTAGTGAATGATTTGCATAAAGCAAATGTCTAGCATCCAGCGTGGACTCAACCTTACAAATAGACATTATATATTTTCCCTTTAAGAGGAAATGCACCTCTATGGCCTGCAGGTCCACAACATTAAACTGCGTAAATGCTGAAACATGGGAATCAATAGAGAGCTATAGGAGGGATCACCAACAATATGCTATGCACAGTGTTGTGGGTGCAGTTTGTTGATGGTGGCGGGTGTGAAGCCTCTTACCAAACATATTTTTTGCCTGCACTCTGCACATGCTGTACCAAAATTCTCAGAGGTCCTGAAAAGAACAACTTAACCTCCAGCTGTCCGCTCATGCATACGACTAATGGATAGGTGGGGTTCAGTTGTGTTTCTCTATATAGCTGGCATCCTGTGTCCTCTTTACCCCCAGCCTCTCTGTGGAGCTGACTTTACCCAATTTCCAGCGTTAAAAACCCAGAGGTGTGCACTTGTGTTCTGCCTGATCCATATAGTGTGGGTAGTGAGGCATGCGGGCCATTTCCACAGCAAGGTTCAAAATGCTGAAGAGGAGATAATCAATAGTTAATGGGGGAGGAATGTAATGACAGTGAAGGATGACATTTCAACCTCAGGGAAGGTGTAGCTGTGGAGAACAGTGCCGCATGTATGCCAATGCCTGCCCAGGGCAGTTATGAGTTTTGCAGCCAAAATCTAATGCCATATTAATGATTTCCTTTTTCAACCTGATAAAGACAGGAGTGAGAGGCCCGTTTTTTTTTTGGATGTGACTGCCATCATGCTGTTTCGGAGAGGAAAAGCCTTTGGGAAGTAAATAAGAATGGAAGTATTTTTCCTTCTCAGGAGCATAATCACCTGAAACTCTGCAGCAAATTGGAAGGCAGAGCTGTCACTCAGCCCCTGATGAAAAATAGTTTCAGTACTTTTGCGTCTCACTGAATTATGCTTCTTTCTATTTCTATTTTCCACAGCCAAGAAGCGGCGACGAAATGTGGATATACAGACTATTAAAAGTCTTAACTGGATTATTCATATAGGAAAACAGTTCAGGGGCCTGAGTCTTTGCTCTGATCGACGAGGGTGCTTTGAAAGGATACACTGGTTGTCCTTGGCAGGTGCTTGGGACAACGGGGGGGGGGGCAGGCAGACAGAGGTAAGTAGTCCACGAAGAGTCTCAGGCTGATGGGGACGAGAATGAAGAACACTGGTGTAGAGCACATGGAAACGAGCCACTCCTCGAGCAGCAAGGTAGCACTGAAAAGCACAGGCAAATTCTAACGAGACAGATATCGCTGTTGAAAGTGGAGTAATGAAGCAGCCTGCTTATCTGTTTGCAGGAGGAGACAATCTGGTGGAGTGGGTGCACGGGCTGGTCCTTAAATGCTGCTCAGCAATGAGCCCTGAGAGCAACAGGTGGGACGTCTGGATAGCCGGAATCCAAACCCAAGCTGGATGCATGGAGGGGAAAAAGGATGCAAAACCCTAGCCCGGCACCAAGGGCAGAGCCGTGACACTGCTGCCCCCCTATTGTCACCGGGAGAGGGGGTGGGTGGGGGGGTTACACCCTGGAATATTCCATCACAGGGCAACGCAAACAGAAATAAAAAAAAAAACAACCATACACGTTGGCACTCACTCCTACGGTAAATTTGGAATCCCCAATTAACTCAACATGTGCGTTTTTAAGAGGAAACATTGTACATTTTCCAAATGTCAAATTCGAAATCACTTCTATTAAAAAAACGTTTTCTGGATCACATGCAGTGCATCCACAACAGATTTATAACCGTGTGAGTGGTTAATGATTCCTGTCCAGTGGGAATTTTTTTTGCCGGGGTTCAAACATCTGAGCCCATTGAGTCCAAATGGAGTGTAACAAAATGTCAGTTCTGCGTGTCATCAAGTGACGGGTGGATTATTTTTTCCAAAAAATCCAACAGTGTTCCATTAAAGTTCTTTTGTCGTTTATTTTTGTGTCCAGTATGTGACTTCCATAGACCCAGACACTTTGCGTTACTCCATCCACTGTATGTCATACTATTCATAACAATCACATAAGACACTTGTTTCTTTGATAAGATGAATAATGAATGAATGAATTCTGATTGTATGTAAAATTTTCCTGCCTCACTGCACAAATGTATTTTAGTTGGTCATCTGGCTCTTGTTTCCATTGCGTTTTGTATATATTAAGCCAAGCGGGCCCTATAGGGCATAAAAAACAACAACAACAAAAAGACATTGCATTATTTTGCTGCAGCGTCTATTTCTGTTTCATCAATGTCAAATGAGCAACCAAAGATGTAAAACAGCAACAAAACTGTGACAGACTAAAATGATTAGTTTGCAGTTTCAGTTCCATTGTAAACAGTAGTGGTTTGGATGGAACTCAAAATTGTTCAGTTTGGCAATCTCCATCCCCCAATCCCTCGAAAAAAAGTCAAAATATGGATTTAGCTGCCTTCCTAAATTTGATGCTCCAGCTGACTGATCAACATTTTGTTTTAGAGGCATGTAGAGTGTTTAAGAATGTGGAAGCAGCTACCCAGGAAGAAATAAGCTTCTCCTTCACTGACTTTGTTGCCAGGGTTACAAATCACTCTTTATCTGGAAGTGATGACTCCTCTGACTGAGTGTAAAGACAGGACTTTACTCATTTACAACAAACCAGAAGCAACGTCCTTTCATTGTGTAGCAGGTAATGTACTATAATAAAGTCTATAAAACATGTAAAAAAAAACAGCATTACAACAAAAATACTAAAGTGTGTATTAGCAATATAGCTTTTAAAATCATAGTGACTTGATAGCTCATGGTTAAAATGTCAGTCTAACAACATCCCCCTCCAGGGAAGAATCTGTAGACGGCTGACAGCACTGTGCAGTGTGTTTTGTTGACTTAAACAAACATTGTCATGAGAAATGCAGAAATCTCAGAGCAAGATGCCTGTTAGTCTGAAGAGTCTCCATCAGGAAGATGTCGGCATGTTCAGGCAGAAGCTATTCCCTCTGGACACCTCGGAGGACCTGACAGTAATCCCTTCGGTGATGCCTAAAAATGACCATTCTGTGTACAGACAGTGTTGATTAAAATGTCTCAAAAGAATGTAATTTAAGACAAATCAAAACTGGTAAGAAATCTGATTCCTTCTGAGTTTTTCATGCAATTCTTATGCTTTTTAAGGGCTCATGTGAGAAGGCTGACTGTTCCTCAATAAATCTAATGCTCAATAAATCTAATCTGACTTGTGTCTTTTAATACCATTCTTCAAATTATGTGCAAAATTGTTTTCTTAACCCTCTGCACCTATCCCAGCTATTTGTTTCAAGAGATGCACTAAAGTGGGGAACCGTTGAACAGCTGTTAAACCACTTGAATTTAAAAGAGCCGATTTGATAAATGTATTTGCATGGAATTACCGTAGATACATGCACAATATCATGGATTGCTTTCGTGAAATCCAATTGCACCTGTAAGTTTCCCAATGATTTGTGTGAAAATACGAAAAGCCACGATTAACTTGTCAGTAAAATAGCTGAAAAAGTAAGGCTTTTCATGCTGGAGTAGTGGCTTGAATGCTACATGTTTCAAGTGATTTATAACAACATTAGTAACCACGAGTTTAAAGATAATAACCTCTTGCATTATTTTTAAATAAGCATACAAATCTATGTCATATACAATTTCTCATCAATCTTTAATGTATATACCATTTCCAATGATGAACGAGGAACTCAGCTAGTATTAAACCACAGGAGAGTTCAGTTATTTAACTCCATGTACAAATTTGTGTT